ATACTGCTCATTGCTACCTTGTAGCATTCAAGCCTGACTCACTACCTAAGAAACAGACCAACTGTGGATTAGGATTAAGCCATCGTTACATTATTATTTATCTTTCTTAATACTACTTTTAAAAGATATTTAAATATTTAAATTTATATAAATAAAATTTTATATAACTAAAGATTATTAAATTATATTATTATATTATTATAATATCTTTTTCTTATCACTGTAAAAAGTTCTTTTTTAGTATAGCTATACTAAAAAGAGTGGCCTAAAAGGGGGTATAGCCTAAACTAAATGCGTAGCCGACGTTACCACCTTTAACTGCTGCAGTGTCCTCTGCCCGCCAACCCACCACTTTCGCGACTCGCACGCCGCGCTCCTTTTGAAGCGCATCTGGCCCCCAAGCTGCCACCTTGCTCTGCTTCACAGACCGCATCGCATCGTAACGCTGCGCCCCATCATCGCCTTTTGCCATGATGTTCGCGTAGCTCATTTCGAAATTTTGCTTTTTTGACTTTCTCCACTCGCCTTTCTGTTTTCACCAGACATTCCTTTACGCTGCTGGCCCCGCGCTCTGGAAAGCCCAGCTGTCGAGTTTATCAAGGTGCTTTCTCCCTGTCCAGCAAATAGACCATTTTACAGGCCACGGCACCAACCGATTCCGCCACCCACAACACGCTCGTTTTTCTCTTCTTCTCGTCTAAGGGACTACTACTTCAGAAATGGCGGCTTTCTCTCGCTTCGGCTTCTTGGCCGCGGCCATGATCTTCCATCTGGTCTACATCTACTCCATCTTTGACATTTACTTCGTCAGTCCAATCGTCACAGGCATGCGCCTTCATGGCATCGAGCGCACTCCTCCCGTCAAGGCGCCGGCCGATAGATTGGTCTTGTTTGTTGGTACGATGACACTCTACCGCTGCGCCATTGCGCTGCGCAATTAGGCTAACCGTGAGCTCATAATACAGGCGACGGTCTGCGCGCAGACAAGGCCTTCCAGTCCTTCCCCGAACCCTACCCCGAAACCGAGGCCGACCTGACCCCTCGACCCCTCGCTCCTTTTATTCGATCCAAGGTTCTCAATGATGGCACCTTTGGCGTCTCTCACACGCGTGTCCCTACCGAATCTCGTCCTGGCCATGTCGCATTAATCGCAGGCTTGTACGAGGACGTCTCAGCTGTCGCAACTGGCTGGAAGATGAACCCCGTCCACTTTGACAGCGTTTTTAACCGCAGCCGCCACACGTGGAGCTGGGGAAGCCCCGATATTGTGCCCATGTTCGAGGCTGGAGCCGTCCCCGGCCGTGTAGATGCCTATTCCTACGAAGCCGAACTTGAAGACTTTTCCAAGGACGCCACCGCCCTGGACTACTGGGTGTTTGACCATGTCAGGGATTTCTTTGCCGAGGCTGCGACAAACAAGGAGCTAGACAAGGCGCTGCGACAGGACAAGATTGTCTTTTTCCTCCATCTTCTTGGCATCGACACTACCGGACATTCTTACCGCCCTTACTCCAAGGAATACCTTCACAATATCAAGGTTGTCGATCAAGGTGTCAAGGAAATGACCGAACTCATTGACAAATTCTATGCCGACGACAGAACCGCCTACATCTTTACCGCCGATCATGGTATGAGCGACTGGGGCAGCCACGGAGACGGTCATCCCGACAATACTCGTACGCCGTTGGTGGCTTGGGGCTCTGGTGTCGCGCGTCCGGAGAAGCACACCAACACTGTTGCGCCTGGGCATGACGAATTCTCCGCAGACTGGGGCTTCGATCATGTTCGCCGCCACGATGTCGCCCAGGCTGATATTGCTGCGCTCATGGCCTATTTGACTGGTCTGGACTTCCCTGCCAACTCAGTTGGTGAGCTCCCGCTCTCCTTCCTCGCCGGGACAAACAAAGAAAAGGCTCAAGCATCGCTTGTTAATGCCCAAAGTATCCTGGAAATGTACCGCGTCAAGGAAGCCAAGAAGATGACGACTGAGCTGCGTTTCCGTCCCTACAGCCCCTTTAGTGAAGAGAATACCAGCCCTGATCAGCGCATTGATGCCATCAAGGCCCTCATCGAGAGCCAAAAGTATGAAGAGGCCATCGAGGAAACGGACGCTTTAATTCAAGTTACTCTACAAGGTCTGCGCTACCTACAGACCTACGACTGGCTGTTCCTGCGAGCTCTCATCACCATCGGCTACCTGGGCTGGATGGCCTACGCCATCACCACTGTTGTCGAGCTTTTTGTCGTGGGCCAAAAGTTCAAGCCTCAGCGCTCTGCCATTGGTCTTGTATTCTTCTCCTCGGTGCTGGTCACCTTGTATGCCTCCTTTGTGATTTCTCAGTCTTCCATCACCTACTACCTCTACGCCATCTTTCCCGTCGTGTTCTGGGAGGAAGTCTTTGCCAGCCGCCGAAGCCTCGCCGAGGGACGCAAAATTCTCTTTGCCAGCATCAAGTCTGCGAGTGCCATGCTTAGCTTTGGCCTGTACGTCATCGTATATGTAGGCGTGATTGAAGGTCTCGCGCTCGGCTACATCCACCGTGAGGTCTTTACCGGTCTCTACGTCCTCGGCGCCCTGTGGCCCTTGCTTTATGGCATCTCGTTTCTGCGTAACCACGCCACTCTCTGCGCTACCTGGACACTGTCATGTCTCGTCATGAGCACCTTTACGCTGCTTCCTGCCAACAAGACGGACAATATCCCTCTGATTCTGGCTGGTGGCGTCTCCATGGTCATCATTGGCGTGTTATATCTGTCGTTTGAAGACACTGTCTTGTCCGATTTCACCAAGCCGTCCGCCAGCAGCGAGAGCTTGAGCAACCCCCTCAGCCGCACCTTGATGGGGGCTCAGATTGGCTTGACCATTTTAGCCATGATTGTGACTCGCTCGAGCGCACTGTCGCTCGCCGCCAAAACGGGTCTTCCTCTTGGCAACCAGGTCGTCGGATGGACTGTCTTAGTCCTCTCGCTGCTTATGCCCTTTGCGCACCGACTGCAGCCCAACAACAACTACATGCATCGCTTGATGCTCATCTTCCTCACCTGCTCGCCCACCTTTGTTATTCTGACCATCTCGTACGAGGGCCTGTTTTACGTGGCATTTTGCATCACCTTGGTTGCCTGGGTCCGTCTCGAGTACTGTGTCGAGATCTCTGGGCGGTCCTCGTCTGCGGCCGAGGCTCAGATTGAACGCGACGGTATGCAGTTTCGCGCGCTGCGCCTCTCCGACGCCCGCATTGCCCTCTTCTTCCTCGCCCTGCTCCAGTCGGCATTCTTCAGCACCGGCAACGTTGCTTCCATCTCATCCTTTAGTTTGGACAGCGTCAACCGTCTGCTACCCGTCTTTGACCCCTTTTCGCAGGGCGCCCTCCTCATCTTTAAGCTTATGGTCCCATTTGCCCTCATCTCGGCCAACCTCGGTGTGCTCAATATTCGACTCGGCGTCGCGCCCTCGGCGCTCTTCATGATTGTCATGGCCATCAGCGATGTCCTCACCCTCTACTTCTTTTGGGTCGTCAAGGACGAGGGCTCCTGGCTCGAGATTGGTTCTACCATCAGCCACTTTGCCATTGCCAGTCTGCTCTGCGTCTTTGTCGCCGCGCTCGAAGCCGTCAGCGCGCTCTTTGTCGCGGGCGTCCAGGTTGACGACCAGGTAAGGCCGCAGGAACAGGTAGCAGAGGCGTCAGGCAAGACGGCGAGCTCCAACGGAAGTGCAGCGGCGAAGAAGAGCAGCAAGAATAAAAACTAATAATAAAAAGGGGGAAAAAATATAGAAGAGAATACTCTATAACTACATATGGTCGGGCTTAATGGGACTAGGGTGCACGTAGCAGTCCCTTACATGGATTTCCCTTGCAATAAAGATATATGCCCTGCACAGATTAGTGAATATAATAATACATACATACTATACTCAACACAATAGGCTGGGGTGCGGTTGCACTTCCTGCATGACTCGATAGATTAACAGTGATTGCCATGACGCTCTGCATGGCCTTATTACCCAGTTTGCGCAGGGCTGGGCCATGAACCCGAAACAGATTCCCTGACGGTTTTGAAATGCATGCAAGGATTTCTTCGATTTGCTCAAGTAGGCCATAGCAAACCACGGCAAAGAAGATTTGTGACAAGAACACGAGGAAACGAAAACTCTAAAGGCAGATTCCATTTTGACAGTACATATCGTCGATCAGGTATATGTGTGGCGGTTTCATAACAGGTCCGGCAGGACAGGGGAACATGGTTGGCTTTGACGTGAGCCCAAAGGAACGACTGTCAGAAAGACTTCTCCGTTCTATGGTTGACGTGAGCCGGCAATGATATAGTTGAGAGCTGATTAGGGGCTAGTCAAAAGCGATACTCTTGGATTAGTAAAGGACAACCGAAGAACGACTGTGGGCGGTTTTTGTTGACAACAAAACTTTTTGGCGTCAAAATCCTGGCACATGGCAATAGCGTGCGATGACGGCGGATGGGGCGCCGATCACTGTGCCCCCCCGCAAAGGACGCTGGGCTGGGTGAGATCATTGGAAAAGAAGGCGCAGAGCTCGGAAAATTGAGGGAGCTGGCAGAGTTCTGTACGTGCATCGCGAGGGACGTGATCAGACTCGCACGGAGAAAATACCCCAAGCAGGCTGCCATGGCTTTTTTTTCTTCTAATTTGTCTCTTGTCTTGTGCTTGGCTGCCCATGGCTTTGTTTCCTTTTGGATTGTTTCTTGTCTTGTAATAGACCGTCTGTCCCTTGCAGACAAGAAATGACCCCGATGAACAGTCAAAGCAATTCCAACACCCGTAAAGGTGCCTGTCGCAAATAGATGAAGCTGACAGCCTTGATGGTAGCCCAACGCTGCTCACGCAGGCCGAGGAGCATGTGAAGCAGTGCTTAGTGCCTGACTTGCACACCACCTTTGCGGACGAGACGGCAGCTTCTGCGGTACAGTCTTACGGAGGAAAGCGGCCGACGTCGCAGGTGCTGCCCTAGCTTGATCGCTTGGTGTGGCTTGCTGGTCTGACCTGGCCCGTTGGTTATCGAGAGACGATGTAGCTGCAAGAGCCGTTTTGCTGCAACATTCTCCGCTTTCCCTCGTCGCGCACAATGCCGATCTCGAGGTTGCAATCTCTGGGGCGCAAACAAGGCCATGAAATTTTGTTGTCAGATTACGCGACCTCCACGTTATAAAGCTGTCATGCCATGCACAGAGCCCCTCCCAATGGGTAAGGTTAGGGCACCGCGGAGGGTTTCTGCTGATGTTCGATAAAGTGTTTAATGGCCAGACAGCCCCCAGCCAAGCCCCAGCCGGTTCATCAGTCTCCGCTCCCGGAAAAGTGAAAAAGTTGGAGAAGAGAGCAGCTCTCCACTGACATGTGGATATGAGATTGCGAAAAGTCGAGCTTGGAGCCGCAGGTGAGCAAGCGTGGCCGTTGAAAGGCAAATTGAGAGCCTCACTGGTTTACCTGCCAGGAGTTTCGGCGCCATAATCTCGCCAACGGCCCCATGCCGGAAGAGCTCGAGTCTGGGGTGCGAACCCTTGTCTCCCTAGTTTGGCGCAGGTGTGGTGGTGATGACCTGAAATAGGCTTGGCTCGCTCTTTGACAAGCCACGGTTCCGTCACTAGTATCCGTCTCGACGCAGTGTTTGCTGTAGAGGTTGTGTGTGTTCTCGGCTCTAGGGCAAGCCAATACAGGTAAGCAGCTCTTTGATGCTCCGAGTAGTATAATGGAAATTCTGTCATGATTGAGATGAAGCCAGAAACCTCGTGCATCCCTCGAACGATTGTTGTCGGAAGCCCCCAGCACAATAAGCGCCATGATCGAAGGCTGCGTAACACGCAACTGCAACACTGGCTCTCGCTCGTGTGCCGTGCCCCTGAACCTGTCCAAGAGGAGCCCTGTGGCTCCATTCGCGTTTTGTGTAGGCTGCTCCCCCGGATTTTGGCTCGAGGGCGGTAAGTCGTAGTCGTTGCGCACACACCACCACGCTCCGATACCCATCCCGTCTTCCCCAAACTAGCCGGCGATGGCGCTGCCCCTTCTCCGCAGTCCAACCGTCCAAGACACAGAAAAGCTGGGGGGTATCGGGTGACTTCGGCCGGGGATGTTCATTTTGCTCCTGCACTGCCCGGTCATTGTTCAAGCCCGCTTGGAGCTATTAATTTCACGACGTTGGGTGGATGGAATGCTACCGTTTTGTATATGTAGGACTCACCCCCAGTCGTATTGGCCCGTTCGATGTGTTTTTTCCTCCTCCGGCCCTCCCCTCATTTTGCTGGTTCGATTCTTGTTTTTTTGACGAAACTTTCCCTTTACTGTTTGGACAAGCGACCAGCTAACTTGGCTTGTCTCTGCGAATACTGCTGCGAGCGTGATTCTTCCAACACGGTTGACATGTCCGGCTCGGATGGCAGGAGCAAATCTCGCCTGCACACTACGAATACCTACCCTTGACTACCTGGAACCTGGTGCCGCTTTTATTCCCTTTTTTTTTTTTGGCTGCGCAAACGCCGCGTCTGCCGAAAGTAGCAAGGCAATTCGGCTCCGCTGCTAGGTCTGTCTCTGTCTCTGACTAAACGGGCCCTTGACCGATTCTATGCGCATCGACAACAAACGGAGGCAAGAATCGTCATCCAACATCATCAACCTCATCAACCTCATCGTCAGCCTCACCATCGATCTCAGCATCGCCGGATCCTCAAACGCCCCAATCCTCTTGCCGTTATCGAGTCATTTTATGCACAATACCCCGGTGCCGCACAATAAGCTAGTCATCTACCAAGACCACCCACCCCACGATTGCGGAACCTCGTTCACGAACCCAGTATCCACCCCGTCTGGTCACCAACCTGCGCGCCGCCGTCTTTTCAGAGATCCGGCAGCACTGACGCCCGCAAGACCGGAGCTCGTCCTTGCTTCTCTATACGTCGCCGGATTCTCGCCGCTGCTCGCCTCTTCATTCATCTCCCGTCATTCCTGGCCACTTGGATTTCCCCGGCGTCACGCACGACCGCAATTTCAGCCCGTCTCCAGACTAGCTTTTATTCTCTCACTCGTCATTGGTGCACTGCCGCCAAATACTGCGCCAGCTGCCTCGCCATCTGCTGCCAGCTCTCCAACCCTCCAACCCTCCAACCCTACAACTTTCTTGGCCCTTTCCCCGCCCGCAGCCCGCAGCCGCTAGATGCGGACTGTGGCTTGACTTGCTGCCTCGTCTCCTCCGCACGCGGTCTTCTTCAGTCGTCGCGCATTTGCCCCCCAGGCGCATCCCCCCGCCCTCCAAAGTGTCAGCCCTTTGCTTGTCCTGTCGAGATTCTCACTTTTGCGCGCCGCCCCTTTCCAACAGCTTCGGGCCCAAAACTGCATACTCGGATCGAATTTTGGAATTAATTGTCGTCGCCCGCTCCTGACCACAGTCATGGACGTTGACATGTCGGGCGACAGCGGCCAGAACGGCCATTCTCCCGCGAAATCGTCACCTGGTGGCAATCACAACACTGCTGCCAACGCTGCTGCCACCGCGGCCGCCAACGCAGCAGTGAGTTTTAGAAGGTGAGTAACGCTGATTTCGAATCAAATGGGAGCATCCTGCTGATCAGCCCTACCCGATATAGACAACGCGCATCCCGTGCATGTGAGGTATGTGCCTGGAGCTCCAACGTTCCCCCATCTCCGCTGCCCAAGCCCTGCAACAGCTCCTCGTGCCGAGGCATCTCTGGGCCCGCGTGGTCGCCGCACCGCGCCTTATCACATTGCACCACTCACTCATATACTTGATTGCTGACATTTGATTGTACCGTGCCGCCAATAGACCTGCCATGCCAGAAAAGTATGCTACTTCCCCTGCCCTAATCGCCACAGTCACTCCATACTAATAACGGCACCACTAGGTTCGTTGTGATGCCGCCAGTCTCGGCGTGCCTTGCACCAACTGCGTCGCATTTCAGATCGAATGTCGTATCCCCAACCCGAAACGAAAGAAGGCTCAGAGTAACGCTGGCCAAACCAGCAAAGACTCTGACAGGTGCGTCTCCATCATCAATAACGGCCCTCTTGCCAGCTGACCCAGCATCATTTAGTGACCGCGGCGACGGAGATGAACGATCACAAACCGGAACATCCATCGGCTCTGCTACATACCCGCAACCACCGACAGTATCGCACTCGATAGAAGGCACACCTCTGACCCTTCTGACAGAGGCACAATCACGCAAACAGGACATTGATACAGGCACTTACCTGAACATGGTCATGAAGCCCAAGTTCACTCGTGCACCCATCACTGAGGCTGGCCGTGTTGCATATCTGGGCGAATCTTCCAACCTGACTCTCCTCGTCCACGATCGACAAGGCTCCGCCGATGTCGTACACTACCCGCTCCCTGAAAATGTTAGAGGCTCTCGTGCCAGACTAACCGAACTGGACAATGTCGAGATAGACATCTTGCACCAAAGGGGAGCATTTCTGCTCCCTCCCCGATCCCTATGCGACGAACTCATTGACTCGTACTTCAAATGGGTCCATCCTATTGTCCCCGTCGTCAACAGAGCTCGTTTCATGAAGCAGTATCGCGATCCAAAAAATCCTCCCTCACTGCTGCTCTTACAGGCTGTCCTTCTCGCAGGCACACGGGTTTGCAGCAATCAGCAGCTCATGGATGCCAACGGGTCGACTACCCCGGCTGCCCTGACCTTCTACAAGCGCGCCAAGGCTTTGTACGATGCCAACTACGAAGATGACCGCGTTACGATTGTCCAGTCTGTCTTGCTCATGGGCTGGTACTGGGAAGGCCCCGAAGATGTGACTAAGAATGTTTTCTACTGGAGCCGTGTTGCCACCATTGTTGCTCAAGGATCTGGCATGCATCGCTCGGTCGAGCAGTCTCAGCTGAGCAAATCCGATAAGCGCCTGTGGAAGCGAATTTGGTGGACGTTATTCACTCGCGATCGTTCCGTCGCAGTCGCTCTCGGCCGGCCCGTTGGAATCAATCTCGACGATTCAGACGTCGAGATGTTGACAGAAGACGACTTCATTGAAGACGAGTCTGGCAGCAACTCTGAGTTTGCACCTGACCAAATACACGTGCAGTTCTTCCTGCAATACGTTAAGCTGTGCGAAATCATGGGCTTGGTGCTATCACAACAATACTCGGTTGCATCAAAGGGTCGACAGCGGAATGCTATTGATCTCACGCACAGCGACATGGCCCTGGCAGATTGGCTACAAAACTGTCCAAAAATTGTTTACTGGGAGATGCCACGACACCATTTCTGGTCTGCTTTGCTCCACTCCAACTACTACACAACGCTTTGTCTTTTGCATAGGGCACACATGCCTCCCAATGGCGGACCGAGAACTCTTGACGACTCGCCATACCCATCAAGAAACATTGCCTTCCAGGCTGCGGCAATGATCACTTCAATAGTTGAGAATCTCGCGGCCCATGATCAGCTTCGATATTGTCCTGCTTTCATCGTGTATAGTCTGTTTTCTGCACTGATCATGCACGTGTATCAGATGCGGTCCCCCGTTCCGTCTATTCAGCAGGTCACTCATGACCGACTACGGAGCTGTATGCAAGCGATGAAGGAGGTCTCGAGAGTATGGCTAGTGGGTAAAATGGTGTACACGCTGTTTGAGTCCATCATAGGCAACAAGGTGCTTGAAGAGCGCTTACAAAAGGCTGCAGGCAAACGTCACCGCAAAATGCAGCAAAGCATGTCTAATTTGGACCAACACAGCAAGGCGCAGCAACAGCAGCAGCAGCAGCAGCAGCAGCAGCAGCACCAACACCAACACCAACAGGATCAAAGTAAACGAAAATTTGATGATATGACCATGGACTTCACCGCAAATGCACCGACACCACAGGAATCCTACGAACGATCGCGTCCGCAAACGCCGAGTGCTGTCAGGGTCGACGGAGGTCCTATAGGCGGACCTCCGACTGGCCCACAAGCGAGTATATCACCTCCACCGCGACCAGCAAATGATACATTCATGGGAGGTACCAGCTCGCGACCACAAACGCGGCCTGCAACGCCATTCAATCCATCCTTTTCGGTTCCAGCCACACCGCCCGATCTGTATTTGGTTACTCGAAATTCTCCCAACATTTCGCAGACGCTTTGGGAAAATTTCCAGCCAGACCAGCTGTTTCCTGACAGCACGGGTATTCCCAACATATCACCATCGCAGACGCATCAAAACATCGATCCAAGCGGGCTGGGACATGTGCCGGGCGGAGTACCTCCGGCGCAGTTCCATCATCGTGGCACCGGTGGCCAAGGCAATGGCAACGGCGCCATGCCAGTGCCAGGCTTCGCTACACATGCAAACATGTGGCAGAATAGTTTTGACGCCCCCGGGCAGGATGGACAGAGCCCAGACAGTTGGAGCACAGGCTCAGCTGCAGGACAGCCAGTGCCGACGACGCTCAACGTTGAAGATTGGTGGGTTTTTTGAAACTATTTCATTTTTCCTTATATCTGCGAATGCATGAAGATACTAATGATGTAACAGGTTCCAATTCTTTGGCATTCAGGGCGATCCAAGTCAATTGAACCTTGATACGCTTGGAAACAACAATGTTGCGCCGAATCTTGGTAATGCAACTGCAAGTAACAACCAATAGGTCGGTGCAAGCGCCTCTGAGAGCCGACTTCTTTTTTCGCGAAATTTGGAATGTGCTAGTCTTGGTACTCTGCAGCGACAAATATTGGGCTGAGAGGCCTTGCCATGTTGAAGGAACTTAATGGTGCAACGCCCTTGAAGGCGATGAAGTGCTGGAAATTCGACTGAAGTGAGGTTACCTAGTCAGTTAGCTCTTCAAGTGATTGCCAATTCGCACAACCAAGGGGTTGAATTCTAAGATAGTGCTGCTGTAGCACAGGGCGATGCCGGCGTGTTGCTGTGCGAATAGCATTTTATAGTGACGAGTTCATGACGCAGCCAATCAATTGCAGCCAATCGATTGCAGCCCATCAATTGCAACCACTTCTTCTCAAGTTGCGAATCTCGAATCCAAAGAGGCTAGACTATATTAGGGACAAACTGGTTATGATGCCAGAGTGCCAAGGCCGGCGAACTCCTCTTGTGGTGTAGCGGCCGAGCCCACTGAAACAGGATGCGGAAAGGAGAGATTTATTGAGCAGCTTGGCAGTATGGAACAGGTTGAGTCAAGAAATGTGATGAATGTGTCCTGATGCCACGACGCCGCAACGAGTGCCAAAATTAGCAAGCCTACCCCACCCAGTCTTGTTCCCCGTACACCGAACAGTTAAGCCGTACCTAAACTTTCTTGATAACGGGCACTTGCTGGCTACCTACCTACCTACTTATACTCAACCGCCTACAAACTTTGGAGCTTACAAGCGCAGTCCACTGGCCCCAGCAGTTTCAGCAAACATCGTAGCAGGAGAGCCCCTTCTCGCCAGCCCGGCGAGTCATCAGGCGCCCTACTCAATTTGCCTGTCCAAGCCACAGAAGGTTTTTTTTTTTTTTTTTCGCTGTAGTCATCTCTCTACAAGTACGGATAGTATCGCGGCCAACACCAGTGGTGCTTCAGCTCTTGGTGTGCTTGGGAACAGGGGCACAGACTAGCCCACTTGTGACAAACCTGTACGTCACCGAGGCCTACCTAGAAGCTAAACACCAGCGAAGCTCTTCCCTCGACACAATCAAGCGATCCGTCTCCCAACCCCTGGGCACGGCATTAAACCCTTTCGAGCCTCTCGATTCACGGATGCGAATTATAAGCCGAGCCGCGAGCTGCCGTCACCGACACGTTCGCGGTCAGCATGACTGGCCGACCAGGCTATTCTGCGAGGTCGTCGTCGGGGCTAGCCGCGGGGCCGGCTGCTGGCTCTGATGGTGCCGTACGACCACGTAATCGCCGTCTCATCAGCATCGACGACAACAGCAACCACAAAGACGACGCCACGAGATCCCTCGATAGCAGCGGCTTGCTCTCAGATTTCGAGGCTTCGACCGCGCAGCCGTCAACGCAGCATGGACACGCCCGTGCCGACCGGGGCTACAGCGCAGCCGCGAGCGGCAGCACCGCCAACATTGGCCAGTTCCTCGGCGAATCGCTGACGCAGAGCTGGTCCTCTGTCCAAGGATTTGCCACTTCCATACTGGGATCTGGGGCCAAGGACAGAGGGGGCATGAGGAGCCCGTACGGCTCGAGATCACCCAACGGGAGAATACCAACTCGCGCCCAACCTCGCAGGCGAGCCGGCAGCAGCAGAGAACCAACATCTTGGGGCCCAGCGCCTGCCCCAAAGCTGGCTGATGTGGGCGCGGGCTCTCTTGCCGAACGGGATGCTGCATTGAGAGCAGCCAAGACAGCGAGCGTTCTGCAGAGCCACGACGGAGTCAATGGTGGTTTGGATGCGAGCGGACGACACAAACGACGAAACTCGGATGAAATCGCCACGACAGAACAGCCACCCGACGACTACTTGGTTTACATTCACCATGTGCAACGAAACGATACTTACGCAGGAATCATTCTGCGGTACCAATGCCGAGAGGACGTCTTTCGAAAGGCAAACGGACTGTGGTCGCGCGATAGCATCCAAACGCGGAAATGGCTGACACTGCCTGTGGATGCTTGCGAAATTCGTGGCTCTCCATGCGACCCCCCAGCTTCCACGACTACGCAGCAAACAGATTTACTTGCACCATCACCGGTGCCTTCCAATAAACCTATACCCGAGCACGACGAGTACTTTAGCTCACTATCAGACATTGGCGAAAGCGACGCGCGGCAGATTGAACAAGACAGCAAACCATGGACCCATGTTCGATGGGTCAAAATAGAATCTTTTCAAGCGCCCGTGGAGATTGGGCGCATCTCTCGTCAGTCAATGGGCTACTTTCCTCCGCGCCGGAGGAAAAGTATTTTGTCGGCATTGTCAACGCCGCGTCAAAGCTCGGAGCTCTCCAATGGCATGCCCGGGCCTTCAGAAAGTCACCCGCAGCGACGGCAGAGCTCGCTAGGAAGTCAACCGCCGTTGTGCCTTACGCCAGTATCATCGCGAAGCAGACGAGGCAGCGAGGCGGCAGAGATTAGGCCGGCCTGGATGCGAAGACCTGGTGGAGTCGGAACCATGGGCCGCAACATTCGAGCGCCAGGACCCGACAAGGACTCCCTGAATGCCTGGGCGAACAAGCACTTTCCTGGACTCAATATCGACCAACTCCCGTCCATGTCAGTCATGGGATCGGAGATTGCGCATTTCGGGTTCAAGGGCGGTAATAATGCCATTGCCGAGAGCTCCTTTGAAAACGGTCGCCAGGATGCCGCCTCGCTCAACAATCAAGGCACGGGGCTGGATAGGGCTGCAGCCGCCGTGGAAACCTGGCTTCGTGGAGCTCTGGCGAAGCGGCCTACGACACCGCTCACGCGATCGCGGTCTAAGGGCGTTACTAACGCGGACGGCGACTTGATTGAGCTCACGGACACGGGCAGCGACGATGGCCGATTCCACCACGACTCCGTGAGCAGCCTCCTCGAGCCACTTTCAATCAGCGGTACGAGCGGTCACAGCCGAAACACGGGTGCTGCTACGATGAGGTGCAGCAGCGGCATCGCGGACAAAGGGAAGAAGGTGGACTAACAGCAGGGTAAGACAATGGTTTGCTCGAGCGTGGAGTGGAAATGATACCCAAGAATATTCTTGCTAGCTACCTATGAGGATACCTTGTGCATACTTTTCTTTTTTTTCCCCTCTGGGTTGCGTCGTGCTTTACCCTGGTTCTGAACCAGCTTTCTTTGTTTTCTCACCGCTTCCATTCTTCTTGGACAAGGCGTTTCAATGGTAATTTCGCATTTGAAAGCAGTTCATCTGCTGAGCGCACGAAAATGTGTAGCTCCTGCGTGGCGTATCTGGCATATTTAGTGTATATTTCCTTGTCGTCAAACAATAAGACCATGTCATTCAAGTGGCTGCGGCTCTTTCTGATTCGTTCTCGCGTTTGACACAACAAAGAGGCAGTGGTGGTTGAAGCGGTGATTCATGGAAAGCATGGGCTTAGTTGTCCACCTAAATTGGAGTACTTGTTGACTAAGCTGAAGCTACCGGTAGCCGGCAGTCAGTTCTCTGAAAGGGTACAATTATGATGAGCGAGCAACTCAATGACACCGTCTCGGCAAGTAGTATCGCCTGTCCAGCCCGTCAAAATCTTCAATCAGCAGCCACCCAATTAGCCACCGGTTAATCAGTGACGCGCTAGCCTGCAATGACTGGGCCTGCGACGCGCAAGCCCTGTGACGAGCTGCCTTTGAAGACGCGCGGCGTCAGGAGGCGCGCCGGCTTACTTGACGGCGTTGGCGAGAGCAGTCTGCTCAAAGCTAATCTGCTCGCCAAAACCGGCGCCGGCGGTGGTAATGGCGCTCGGCGGATCTTGCTGTCAACGTGGCACACGCACCAGCTGCGACCATCTTCGTCGCCTGCGCTGCGCACCGTGACGCTCCGAGCACATCTCCGGCGTCCTCTCCGGCGTCCTCGGCGGGGGGGGCCGCCGGTCCAACGCTCCAGTTCGCCAAGCCATCACAGCTATATATGACAAAGCATAATCAAAAGCGCCCGGTGCTGTAGTAGCTGGGGCACGTAAGTCAGACAGACGCAGACGAGATAGAAAAGGCATGGAGCTGCCCTCGCTGCAAATCTCCGCCATAGTTCGTCGATGGCAGAATAAGCTGTGAGGCTGCTGGACAGGCGATACTGCACGCTGAAGCGGTGTGTTTAAGTGGCCTGGCCGTGGCGGCAGGCAACCTGTTGGCAGGCACGATGCCTAGGCTCGCTGACTTGGCGATGCCCCTCATCAGCCACCCTCGTCTCTCTCGAGATAGCTTCCCCTTCTTCCCTCCTTCATACACGCATTAATTCCAAGTTTTTGCTTTCGCTCGTGTCCGCAACGCCGCTCAGGGAGATTTGTTAGGTCGCCGGTGGACAGTACGCGGACTAGACGCTCGATGTAGCGGCTCTGGTGGCGAGGCCGCACAAGAATGGCGAGGATGACCTCGAAGCCCGCTTTCAGGATAAATCCTCGTGAGTGCCCTTTTCTATTCTGTCTGCATCTGCCTGACTTACGTGGCCAGCCGACCTCAGCAGCAATATCCGTATTGACTACTTTTTCTACCATTCTACCATCAACAAACAATGACAAAGATTCGCAAAGAAGGCAGCGCTATGCCTTGTTCATCTCCATCTCATCTGCGTTGCGACGCTTGGCGGAAACCTCCCCTTGACCGCCGGCTTTGGCGGGCAGATTGGCTTTGAGCTAACCGACTTCGTATTCATCCTCGATGATGCCAAGCCTCCATCGCCCGGGCCTCTGCTTCTCGTATCGACGAGCAACGACTGCAACCCCGGCCATGGGTGACAGGCACTGCCGCGGCCAGCCTCAGATGGCCTCGAGAGAATCGGCGGATGAATCTGTAATGCGGGAATGGTAGAGAAGGTTGATGAGGCTGAGACAATAACCGCTCCCGGGCGCCAGCAAGGTCGACCCTTCGTAGTGGTCCGGCCAGCCTACGAACTGGCCGGCTGAGTTAAGCATGCCGAATTTATGGCGAGGGTTGCATGAAAATTTAGCTTATATGGATTTAATCATATTGCGCAGACCAGTAACCACTTTAGCAAGCACATTAGCTTACTATTGCAGATTATTCTGATTTACGACGCCTGTAGACACGGCGACTTGATTGCCTGGCGCTGCCGTTGGCACTATCACTAAGAAACCTAAGAAACCTGCAGACAGAGTCAACGTGTACAATGTGGTTATAAGCAAGAAATGACTTTATCCGCGAGGTCCCTAATCTAGTTGGTCGACACCTCAGGTCTCGCCTATGTGCTTGAACTGCCGACAGCGCAGCTACTTGCGGTTGTGCGCTCTGGAAAGGAAGGCAGTGCTTCTGGCATGTCGCAAGTGCTAGATCTTTACATAGAACGTCTCAAAGTGCCTGCAGAGACGAGTGTTGGCTTCTCAGACAAGTCGCTATAGCTCATTTTGGTTGGATTTGAGCCGGAGGAGTTGCAGGCCGTGTTATAGCATACCATTTTTGTCAAATTAGGTGAATAGGAGAGGGATCTTTCTAAATGCTAACCGAAACGCAAGTCTTGTTAACTAAAAGCGGTTAAGTTGTGGCGTCACTTAATACTGTATTCGCTGAATACATAATAGCTTTACTTATATATTATTAATAGCTAAAAAGATAAATGAATGGAAGAATTAAAAACCTATTATAAGCGTAACCTCTAAGTAATTCTATATCTGCTACTGATAACCTTAGGTATACTAGTACTAGCTATTACTAAATGCGCGAGCCTAAACCTCCCGCATGTTTTGTCTATTCCTCAGAGTTAGCGTTATTATTATTAAGGTAGTGAAAGACTTATGTAAGGCAGGTTAGAGAGGACGTGTTTATGTGTGTTTTTAGTGTAAATTAGGCCCCTTCGCCTCTGCGCGGTATATAGCCACTATAAAGCCATAAATTGGTTCAGACTTGCGATTTGGTGGAATATTAAAAAGACGCCTCTCCTGCTTATGAATATTATAAACCTAATATTAATAAAGGAAGTAGACTTGATAATGAAGCTTGCTGTGACACGGGCGTCGTGGGTAAGAGGACGCCAGTCGTGGCGCCAAGTCGGCGTCGGACGATGGCGGACGCCGGACGATGGCGGACGCCTTGGCCTTTCATTAAGTCTAGAATTCAAACACTAACATGGCTAATGCCCACGTCCAACGAAGTCAGGCAAAAGTAAGTGTATTTTTCTTCTCCAGCCACGGGAGCCACAACTCCAATGTTTTGGAGAAGGGAGCCAAGGGCAAGTTGACGGCTTGCGGTCAAAGCCTATCGATATCGAGGCAACACTTGGAGGCTCCTGATATTGAAGAGACGGGAAAAGCCATTTAGGATGTATTCTTGAAAAAAAAAAAAAATCAACAATTTGCCGCAATGGCAAATTTTGACTTTGGACGACGCCGTCACCCGCCATGTGTATATTAGGCGCCAGCGCTATGAGCTTGACGTCTCTCGACTCTAAACAAGGGACTTGTTTCAATGATTCGAGTTGGTGAGTTTTGGAAAGCTTAAAACTTTAGCTTCTTAGAGCGGCTTGTCGTGGCTTGATGCGTCAGCCTCTGGTGTTTATTGCGTTGGCGTGAGGTCATGTGGCCTAATATCTGTACAGCTATATAAGGATCTCGAAGGACGGCTAGCATCATGAGCGCTTGCAAAGTCGACCTCTCTATTTACCTTTTTCATAATCCTTGATCGATCCACTTTCTCTCGAGTTAATTTTGACAGCTGCAGAGCTGCAGCGTCTCTTTGCTGAAAACCGGAAAACAAAAAAAGATGAAAATCAACGAGGATATTATCACGAGCCTGGCGAATCTCACCGCGCCTGCGATCCGACATGGAAATGAATTGGAGATCACCGAGACAGCCACCCTCGCTGTTGGCTTGCTTACAGCGTCTGTTTTGGCTAATACTGGGGGATGCTGTTTCGTGCCTTTTCTTACCTTGCTCAACGTCGTCATGTTAGCTTTGAGTAACCGCAAGAAGACGCCATGGGACGACATGCGCCCCAAAATCGAGGCGATGATCAACCACAAAGTTCAGCAATATCACCTTGACACCATCCACAGCCAGCTTCGCGGCCTCATCGAAAACTTGGGGGCTGTTCGGCTCGTCTACAAGCAGTTCAACGAGGCGCCGCCGCAAAACAGGGAGCGACAGGGCGAGCTGCTCCGATTGCACCACAACGCATTGCTCATGTTCCTACGAGCCTCTATTCCGCATTACCAGATGGAGAGGCATGCCGTGGTGTCTCTGCCAGACTTTGCCCTGGCAGCCACCATACAGATTATGATGCTGGGCGATGCCCTCAAAAACGGCCTGGCGTGGGGCTACACACCGGAATTTCTACGTGCCATCAGAGACGATTTGAACGCCAAGACGGGCTTGGGCACCAAGATAAATGCTGTACCGAAACGCACTGCCCTGCCTGGTACTAGCGCCGGCATCGCCCCGAGAGCCATTGGCCACGGGTTGCAGATGCAGCTCCTCTCCGACACCATCCGCCAGGGCGAGGCCGAAGGTTGGTCTGCGGAGCTTATCGCCACCTGGAAGCAAGCGTACTCGGCCCTCAGCGTGCAGCGCCGCGATGTCTCGAGCGGTGCCGGCGAAGAGGTCCTCGACTACCCCACGTACGTAGAGCAGACGTACGAGCACGGCCGCACGCTGGTCAATCCGCCCAAGCCTGGACAGGACCTAGGGCCGGGAAGCAAGGTGGCGGCTGCGATGCGAGCCCTCGCCGACTACGACTCCATCATGACCATACACGTCATGACGTACGCCGAGTACTGGCCGTACATCACTGGTGAATATGTGGTGCCCGATAGCGTCTTGAGGTCCATGGACCGCGAAGTCTTCGCCGGCCCGTACGGGCGCTGGGCGGATCGGGTGCCCTGGAGTAAGACGCACCCGGCGCCCGTGCGGCCGCGCAGCGGCAACATCACCTCGCTCATGGTGCTCGCTGGCGAAAGCATCGACGGCTTCCGCCAGGCGTCGGGCGGCCGCTGGGGCGCCCACCACGGATCATCCAGCGATGGGCTGCCCTACCGCATCAACCTCGGCCCGAACGAGATTATCGAAAACATCGAGGTGACCTATGGCGAGAAGGTCGGTTCCTTGGTCTTTATCAGCAACAAGGCCAGGTACGGGCCGTACGGGTCGCCCAGGCACACCACAACCAAGCCGAAAAAGTGGAAGCAGGCCCTGCTACACAATGCCACGCTCGGCCTGAGCGTCAACCGCACCGGCTACGGCTTGTCGAGCGTCCATTGCACCAGGTGGACGGGCGGTGCGGCTGCGGGGTGCGAGGGCATCTACTTTGGCTTCCGCCCCTTGTACATTGCTGACGACGAGCACGAGCCCGCCTCAAACTATACCAATGCCGCGATTGGAGCCTTGGCCAACTGGGGATTGACCTGAACGATGAGATGGATCTGACACTGAAACGGGCAACGCCGCCAAAGAATGGACTCGCGCTGGCGGTTTTCCTTTGTTCTTCTACCCTTGCTATCCCTTTTCGCCGTCAGAAAGGAGCAAAGCGATCACTGGCAGGGCAATGATCCAATCGGGTAGCCTGAAAAGAGCAGGCACTTACCCCCGAGGTGGGCTGTAATGGCTTAGGGTATACGGGATCGGTGCTTTGTCACCTATGGATGGGGTTGGAGTTTATTGTTTCTGGGGTTGGAGTTTATGGTTGCTGGGGTTGGATTTTGTTGTTGCTTGGGTTGGAGTTTACGGTTGCTGAGGTTGGAGTTTATTGTTGTCGCTGGGAGAAGCAGAGGGAGGCGCGTCATGGCTGTGCTCGGAAATAATTGATCGAAGCGAGGTTCGTGGCGGGAAGGGTATCTTTGTTGGGCGGCGCAGATGGAGGCTGATGTCACGCGGAATAGTGATTAGGCATACAAACAGTGTATAGTGTAAATTGGGGAGTGAAAGAAGCTGTAGCCTTCTTACTACCTTAGTATATAAATCTACCCATATTGTAACTACCATGGCATGTCCCGTTATACCCCTTGATTTCCTCCACCAAGTCGCACAAGGGCTTCGACAACCCGCTCAATGTTGATCAGCTTAAAGCCAATCTGCCCGCCAAAGCCGTAGGGGCAGTGTAGGGATTCGTGTTTTGCAACGAGCCCGTAGAGTGCTGTCTGAGGTTGTGCGCAGTTCAGCATGTCAAACGGATTCGTAGACGTAACTGAAGATGTTGTCGGACGGTCAGTCTCGGATCGTTTGATGCCACTCAAGCCCCCTGTGTCCGGCCGAGTGGGCGGCCAGGGTCTTTTCCTTGAGCGGCAACAATGGAATTTCGCTGGTCATGTTGGAAGACCATATCTCGTAGCTTAGCCAAATTCTTCTCCGTGTTGTCTGGAGCTCTATTTACAGCCTCCGGCAGCTGTTGTTGCTGCTGAGAAACGGGCTAGGCGCCATTCTCGGGGCGTTCTGCAGTGTCATGTCAGTCATGCAACGAACAGCATCAATCAATTTACCTTTTTGGAGGTTCAAAAATGATGCATCGTGTAATTGGCAGAATTTTCCGGTTCTCTTGATAATTGCTGCTGCTGCTGCTGCTGCGATGATGATGATGATGATGATAAGTTGGGAGTGATGAATTGGTGCTCACTTCGAGCTTGATTAATGCTCTACTTGGCCTGCTGTGCGCTCTTTGTCGGCCCGACGTCAGCTGCACCAGCTGCACCAGCTGCACCGGCTGCACCGGCTGCACCAGGCCGCATGAAAAGGCGGGATAAGCGGTTTGGGCCGCGTTGATGAGTGATGGTGGCTGGTATCGAGGTTCGAAGCCATTATCAGACGACAGCCAGGCGGTCAAAATACATGTGTACGAAGCTCTGCGCCGCGAGTTCCAGGCATGGCTTAGGGGTAACCTCATCTTGCATGTTGGCATACCCACATCGTCACCCCTCTAGGCAGCTTCCTCTCTTCTCTCTTTTCCTTCATCATCACGAATATACCTGTTTTCCCTGCTTCTAGCTAGTGTGCCGACTGATTACGACAACGCACCATGTGCTCCGCTGAACATCTTCCTCGACGTCCTCGCCGTGCTCTTCTCGATATCAATGGTGCAGCTGTTGTGTGATTATACCCGATACATTTGAATTGACGCGCGCAATCGCATGTGCAGCTGGAGCGCTCGCCGGAAATATTGCCAATGACGATTCGAGATAGATGAACTTGGGACGTACGGCGACTGACGTACAAACAACCAAACAACCCACCGAATACATCATCATTGTAGGACCCGCAGATCGCGTCCAGGAGATCATCTACGACCGGTAGAGGGCACGCGTGAGTTGCACAAGAAAAGGTGTCAAAACTGGGCTCGAGTATAGCTCTGTTCTCGACGACTGTGGTTTGGAAGTGAGGAACTGCTAGGATCGAAACCCCCCCTCCATCATTGGAGGACCGAACCGACTCGAATCGCTGTGGTTATTTTTTATCGCTGTCGTTAATTTTTATTGGATTCACTTGTCACTGTAGGGCTGTAATTTTTCTCCTCCGTCATTGGAGGACCGAACCGGCCCGAACCGCTGTGATTATTTTTAAGTTATTCTTCGTTGGATTCCCCTGGCGCTTGGGCCCAGTTACCGTAGTTATTGACCTAATAATAAATCAGAGCACTGTTATATCTCTCAACCCATTATCCAGATTGCCAGCCAGGATGTTCTTCTCCCACCGTGCACTTCCTCGAAACCATCTGGTAGGTGGCTAGTCGAATCACTGATTGACGTTTCAATTTAAGAACGTGCATTCTACTGTGTCGGGCATGTTTTCAGGGGCGATTTATTTGTCCTACGCTACTCAGAAAGTGTTCGCTAGGGGCTTAGGTTCTGTGCCGGCCACTAAAATTTGTATGGGAAGCAACGCTATAATTAGCGACGGCGTAATACACCACATTCATCATCTTTCAAAGCCGCCTCACACCTTATGCCTAAAGGTCTGGTTCTGGTTCCCTTCTGGCCGCCCTTTACATGCGCATTCTTTTTATCGAAATATTCATGATAGCTTTATATATGCATACAAAGCAACTGGTTCAAATACTAGGTAGTGAAAGACACACGAACCGCCACCAGCCACCCTAGCCTTGATTTGGTGCATGATTACTTAGAGCGTAGCACAAACAACAGCCCCCAAGAGTTGAATACCGGCCAAGGTAACGTTGGATACCGAAATTTTGCCACATGTTGCATTATCCATCACTTTGAGTGGCCCTGATTCTCGGATGACCTAAAATTGTCTGACTCTGTCTCGGAAAGCGACATGCGATAGACGTGCGACAAAAGACTACCACGACATTACTCTCGAGCAAAAAGATTCCACGACATCAGTCGTGTCCGACAGTAGAATTATCGCGAGCCGGTACTTGGCAAGTTATTGCTGCAGCGAAATCGACACAACTTGTCCAGTCATGGCTATTGATGAGGAGCAACCTCTGCTTACCGGCAGAGAAGGCTGTCCAAATGTCAATCACGACGTGCTCAGTTCGCAACAGGCTGATGCCGATAAGCACACCAACCATCCAACTGAGTGGTCTCGATCATTCAAATGGACCATATTATCCTTCATATCTTTTATGGCTTTCAACGTGTATGTTTTCCACGTTGTTTCGCCCGCGAAACTCTCACTTACGATGCCGTCTAAAATTCACCCCCTACAGTACCTTCGCTTGTCTTTCCATCATGCCCTCGGCAAACGACATTATCCGCAGTCTGAATCACGATGTACCCAACAAAGCTGCCAGCGTTCTTCTCATTACAGTCTGGGAACTAGGCGAGGCTGCCGGCCCCCTCTTTGTCGCTCCCATATCAGAAACCTTTGGTCGATATGTTGTTCTGAATACGTCCAATGCCCTGTTCCTATTCGCAAACATACTGACGGCGCTGTCCACGAATGTGCCGTTGCTCATCACCGCGCGGGCACTCACTGGCTTGGCTGTGGCGTCCAACGTGCTTAACCCAGCAATTATAGGCGACATGCTGGCACCCGAGCAGCGTGGCACGGCAATGACCATCATAATCATCGTGCCAATGATTGCCAGCGCCGTTGGGCCTGCTGTTGGCGGTGCGGTCGCTGATGCGCTGGGTTGGCGACAAGTGGTTTGGATCAATGTGGCCCTTGCCTTCTTATGCCAGATTCCCCTTCTCGTCTTTTTCAAGGAGACGTACAGAGCTCCGTCTCAACAGGATCTGGGCACAGCGCCGCGTAATAGCAACGTCGACGGCAATGGGAACTGCAACGGGAATGGCGATGGCGATGGCAACGATATAAATCTGCAAAGCGGAAAATGTCAGTTGAAGCTACACAACTTCTGGACCTCTGCGGCACGACCGGCAAGTATGTTGTGCAGCTCCAGGGTCCTTGCTATGCTCTGCATGTGTCACAGCCTCGACTTTGTCTTTTACTACGCCATGGTCGTTACTTTGCCAGATATTCTACAAGATGTATACGGCCAATCTCTAACCACTACAGGGCTGTCTTTCATGTTCTTCAGTAAGGAACTACGCTTCTTTCCCTTTTCTCCAGCCCAAGCTAATTGGTCTGTTTCTTGACACAGCTATGGGATCCGCTGGTGGTCTCATCATCTGTAATCTGAGCCTCGATCGACTTTACAAAAAGCTCTGCGATAGAAATCAAGGCCACGGAAAGCCAGAGTTTCGTCTATTGTTTGCCATTGTGGGCGCTCTGGGAGTGCCCACTGCGGTTCTCATGTATGGCTGGACGGCCTCGTTACGTCTGCCTCTATCATGTCTTCGACTCTCACTCGTGCTGCTTGGGATGTCGACTTGTTCCTCAGCCATGTCCGTGTATACATACGTTGTTGATGCATTTGGGGCCTATTCTGCGTCCGCCATGGCTGGAGTCATTGTTACGAGATGCGTAATGGGGGCATTTGTACCGTTGATAGCTGCACCGACGATTGCTGCGCTTGGCTATGGATGGGGCTTCACTACCCTCGGACTGGTAAGTCTCTCCATGGCCCCAGTACCAATACTTGTCATGAAGTTTGGACCAACGTGGCGGCAGTCGTGCCAATACACGAGGCAGACGACAGAACATTCCTCAGGTTCGACATGACCGTTGGACTAGGATGACTCTTTGCAATCTACAGCCAAAAATGTATTGTTGCTGTCATGGGGAGCTCTGCAGATTAAAAGTTTTTTTTTTTTTTTTGGTTCCAATCTAGTTTTTTCATGCCTCAGATTCCAGCCCTTGAATCTCGAACCATTCTTTTAACTCGGGATCTTCGAGAAGATTTTCCGCAGCGGCATGCTCTATGGGCACAAGAAACTCGAAGATTTCGCCTCGACTGTCTTGAACTTGTTTAACAGGCAGAACTACCAGCACCGGCATGATGCCGAACAAATGCCTTACGCCCGTTGGCTTTCCAAAGCCGAAATCGGCATCATAAAGGTTGTGAGCCCGCCAGTCATTAACCGTGAATGCTAGTGGGCTTTGGCGATGTGTCTTTTGACTTTCGCCGGCGTCTTGATGTCTGCCCTGCTCTATTTGCTCGAGCTGCTTTTCAATAAAGTCTGCATCCACGGAGTCGGTGATACGGCGTATGTATGCAGCAATGATGCCGAGCGAGGCCGACTTTACTATGTCCCTGATTGTAAGCCTGCTCTGTTGGCTCGCACAGGTAGCGAATAGCACAGCGTTACCGAGATAGCGACTGGGTAGTGGCGGAATCAATTTGCAGCGGATGTTGACAGCCTCTGTAAAGTCAGCCGGTGTATCCAGGTACTGCGATCCCCAGAGCTTGGCTCGCGCCCTGGTCAGGACACGCCACCAGAGAGCGACAATGACGTCGTAGGTGGAAATGCAGGCGGATTCCACACCTGCCGTCGATTTGGCAATGTTTTTGATCATTTCAGCCTTGGTCTTTGTTAGGTTGAACAAGTACACAGAGAAGGGCAATATTTCCGCCGGATCTGAGGCCGAATCCGTAGCTGGCAGCCCTACCTGCTTCCGAGCCGCCTCGCCGTTAGTAGTTTGAGTTGTTGTAGCGCAAATGGAGCTTCGTACAAGACAACTTCGATCGAAACAGTCCGAGGTTGGCTCGTGATATGGGATGTGGGAACTGAGAGCGGACGTGTTGCCGGCCCATTGGTGGACAAAGGCAGCGAAGCCGCAATAATCCATGGCCCAGTGATGGAAGTGGATGGCCAGGGCAATGCCACCCGGGATGATATTGGCCTGAAAGCCAATCACGGGTGAGTTCTGGCTCGTGTCGGCGTTGTATTGACCGCACGGCACCGTCTGCACACGAAGGCGTGCCATCTCACGGGGGTTTGGGACTAGGTAATGGTTGGCGTGTAGACTCTCGTATGATGCAAATGGAGACTGGCCATCTCCTTTCTGATCAAGGTGGTGCAGAATGAAGTCAACTTTGCTTTCTCGTTTGGACACAATTTCGTACTCGTCTGCGTGATTCATCTCAATTGTGCCAGCCAGAAAGCGACACTGACGCAAGGTTTCTTCCAACCCAGTCATTAACAACTGCATTACATCATGCTTGCTCCTATCGGGAACGCAAAAGAATAAGCAAACCGGGACGCAAACGGGTTTCGGATTCAACAAGTCATTAGTCGAGAGTCTGAAGCTCTGGTCGTTGATGTTTGGATAACCTGACGGGCGGAGGTGGTGGATTTGGGAGCCCATCTTTTGGAGGCGATTCGAACTGGATAGCATTACTGGGATGAAATGTGCACGAGGAGAGGCTGAGCTGCTTTATACAAAAATCACGAGTTTCAGTCTGGCTGTGTCGTACTGCTCCGTGAGACGACATTAACTCCTAGCTCTTGTCAAGCGGCGATGCACTTCTTTTTTTTCTAGACGCCAAATGCTGGCTGCTACTGTGAGCTACCATGATGTCCGATTTCCAGAAAGAGACACATTCGAGAAAGCTACTGAAGAAAATTGACCATGAGCTGGTCTTCAGTCCTTGGTAGAGTGTTATATAAACAGGCTCAGAGAATTTTACAGTGTCAACACTGAATAGCGCGTGATTAGCAGGGCCTCACGCATAGACATAGACTGTCTTGCGATGCTGTCTCTGCCCTGTGCGCTGGGCAAGCACGGACTAGGAAGCAAAAACACCAAGCCATATTGGCTTATAATGCATGACTACTAGTCTAGATCCTAACTCGTATTTTTTGTTCACTTCAGGCGGATTTATAGCTTCAGGGTCATGAGGGTTTTTATTCTGTGTCTGACGGCAAAAGCTGGCCTTGACGGGTTTGGGGCAAGATTTGGTTGATTTACATCTATGAATTCCTTGATTACTTCTCCACAACTCAAGTGGGCAGAAAGACAAAAAAGATCAACCACTGGCGCCCTCAACCCAGCTTATATCGAGGAGCGGCCCCGGTACCTGGTTTGAGATTGAACTTGCACTAGAGAAGCAACTACAAATTCATCAACCGGGAAAGATGGAAGCGTGCAAGCATAGTACTTTGAAAGTGCCAACGAGCAATTGCCCAGTTACCCCCGCATCCCCAGCATGGGAACGAGTCGTCTTTATAAAAAGAAAAGAAAATTCGTCGGGTTGACTGCAGTTACTATGATAGCGCGCCGCTGAGGGACGGGACATGCAGCTTTTCTGTCGAGCCTCCAGGGCCATGATTGTCAAAAAGTATCAACGCAATCGCGGCATACTCAGGCCCAGGTTCATTTGGTTGTACGCGGCTGCATACATCGCCTGGTCGGGCAGTCACTTCGTGTCCTTCCAGATTGGTCGGCAGCAGCATGCAGACCGAGGCCGTACAAGCAATAAAATACGATTACACACGAAAGTAGTCAAATCTTCGATGTTGACTCGCAAATATGAATGCCCAGCAATTCGTGGCCAGTCGACAACCACAAGACAGGCTCTGTTCACTTGCAGCTATATTATCAGGCATCTTCGTTTTCCCGCGCATTGCCAGCTTACTCCAGAATATCCCGTTTCGAGGGAGGAAGACTAACAGCAAAAATACGACAATTTTTTCAACATGCCTGCCGACATCATCGGGATAGCAAAGGTGCTGATGGCCATTTACTCGGTATCCTTTGTCGGTACAATCCTGTATAGACTCTACCTCCATCCACTGAGCAATTTCTCCGGCCCAAAATCATGGATTGCCTTTCCGCTTTTGCGACAGATTGCCCACATTCGCGGTCTTCTCGATGCACGCATGTGCGACTTTCATCGTATCTACGGTCCGGTAGTGCGCTTCGGACCAGGCGAAGTCTCCTTCATCACAGAAGACGCCTGGCGCGACATTTACGACCACAAGCCCAATCAGCTGCAGCGATTCATTCTTCCAACCGCTCGACGACCAGATATTTTTGACGCCGAAGAGGCGGATCATGATCGCTATCGCAAGGCCATGTCGCATGCTTTCTCGCCTAGAGGACTTTTGCAACAGGAGCCGGTCGTCAATGGCTATATTGACATGCTGATGGGTCGCCTTCATGAACAAGCGGCGCGTGGAGCCAGCGTCGACATGACCATGTGGTACACGTTGACGCTGTTTGACGTTATCGGCGATCTTGCCTTTGGCCAGTCCTTTGGCGGTCTGCGCGACCAGGTTCTGCACAGCACCATCTCCTTTACCTTTGAGGCTTTCAAGCTGCTCACCTTTCTCGAGGCCGGTGCGAGCTTCCCCATTCTGTTCAAGCTCCTTCAGCTGTGCATACCCAAGCGGCTTATTGAGGCACGCGACCGCAAGGAGAAGCATGCTGAGGAGACGGTGCGTCGCAGAATGGCCGACGAGTCGCTCCACGGCCGCGGCGACTTTATGGATTCCATGATGCGCCATGACGGCACACCACAGGGTCTTAATACGAGGGAACTCATTGCCAATGCGAGCACACTCATCACTGCCGGAAGCGAGACGACATCCACGATACTCAGCGGTGTCACCTTTTACCTTTTGTGCAATATCGACGCAATGAAAAAGGTCGTCAACGAGGTACGGTCCGCTTATTCCTCCGAGAGCGAGATTGCCATGAGCACTACCGCTCAGCGCTTGCCTTATATGTCGGCCTGTTTCCTGGAAGCATTCCGACTGTACCCCCCTGTCCCGAGTGGATTACAGCGTATGGTGCCCTCTGAAGGCAGAACCCGAGTTTCTAGCTATGACATCCCTCCTAATGTAAGAATTTCCTTGAACTGCAACGAACAGAAGTTGTCCATGGCGTCACATTGATGGGCTCCTCTAACACCCTGCTCAATAGACCAAAGTGTCCGTCCATCCTCTGGCAGCCTACAATGACGCGAGAAACTGGCATAAGCCAGAGCTGTTTCTGCCCGAGAGATGGCTTCCAGAGGCAAAGTCTGACCCATCGTCGCTCTTTTATAACGACTGCCGCAACGTCTGTCAGCCGTTTTCCGTCGGCCCCCGATCGTGTCCCGGCCGCAACATGGCGGAGCAGGAATACCGACTGATCCTGGCCCGCATTCTCTGGAACTTTGATCTCGAACTGTGCCCAGAAAGTAAGAACTGGACAGAGCAGAGGACACATTACCTCTGGGAGAAGAAGCCATTGATGTGTAGATTGAATCCTCGACCCGCGGTTGCATAAGGACGGAAGCTCAGCCTAGCGCAATGCCTTTTAGAAAGTTAGCAATAAAGTAACCTTCGTCTACTGAGACTGTATGAATTATATAATAAATTCAAGCTGATGATAAATCTAATTAAATAGAAATAAAAATCTAGAGAAATAAGTTTTTATTTTTATAAAAAAAAGAATTTAAAGAATCTAAAATAATCATTTATAAACTATTAAATTTTCTTAATTAATGAATAGTAAAGTTTTATATATTATATTTATTACTATAAAACAATAAAAGGCTTAGACTAGCTACTCTATAAATGTATCTTATAGCCTCGTCGATGTTTCGGTAAAAGGTATAGAGTATCGACACAAGTCTGAGTATTACTCTGTATGACTTTTGCTACTTACTCGGTACAGAACCCATGTTCGGAGCTGGAGAATTACTGAGACCTGGAGTAACAGCGAAACCTGCTGTGGCCTAGGTGGAACTCCTCTTCAACCATATATATTCGACTCCATGACCTTATCTTCATCAAATGTCTCCTGTGCTGGCCATAGCTGCGAGGCTTATAACCCGAAAAATCATCGTCATGACTGATGACTCGTACCTTCGTTGCGCAACGGACGCTCTTACCCAACCGTCAATATGGAATATCACATTACTGGTACTCATCGTGGTATGCACAAAATGTTGTCAAGTAACGCTATGTAGACAAAATACCTGCTGACCGTTCATTTTCGCTTAGACGTTCATCTACGCCGTGTTCAAAACTGTGTACAACGTGTTCCTTCATCCACTGCGAAAGTTTCCAGGACCTTGGTTGTATACCCTGACCAGCATTCCTCATACGAGACTCACCCTTTCTGGACTATCGCACAAGAAGCATCTTGAGCTTCACCTCAAGTACGGACCTGTGGTTCGAATAGCTCCCAATATGCTCTCGTTCAACCATCCTGATGCTATGAAAGACCTCCGAGGTCATCGAAAGACGGGCGAACCCGAGCACGGCAAGGATCCCATCTCCATACCCTTCAACCTCGACAATATAGTTGGCAGCAACCGCGAACATCATACGCGCTTTCGGCGAGCCCTGGCCCACGGTTTCTCGTCGCAAGCCATGCTAGAGCAGGAGCCTACGTTCAAGGCATATGTTGACCAATTGCTCGGACGGCTTGAAGAAAACAGCTCCGATGGCACTGTAGCCGTGGACATTGCCAGTTGGTACACATTTACAGCCTTTGATCTGATTGGGGATCTTGCATTCGGCGAGTCCTTTGGCTGTCTCGACAACTCAAACTATCATCCGTGGGTAGCACTTACCTTTCAGAGTCTCAAAAGTCTCGCCTTCAACACAGAAATTGGCCGGTATCCCAGCATAGCGATGCTTGTTCAATTACTACCCCGCGGCATTTTTTCAAAGTTTGCAGAGAACAAAAAGCTCTCATCCGCCAAAGTGCGCAAGCGTCTCGACTCCGGAAGCAATAGACCAGACTTTATTGGCAAGATTACGGAAGGATCGCGCTCCAAGCCGACTGTACGTTTTTCGTTCTTACTCAGTCGCCATTTTTTCTAGATAATCTAGAATCCGCTGCCTCTGACAGTCACTTGCAGGAAATAAATTTTGAAGAACTTGCATCTAACGCCTCGGTTTTGATCGTCGCTGGTTCAGAAACGACAGCAACACTGCTCTCCGCCGCGATTTACTTTCTCACCAAGAACCCACAGGCCTTTGCCATGCTGGCTGAGGAAATCCGCGGCGCCTTTACCAACAAGGACGAGATTGGGCTCATTACCACACAAGGGCTACCGTACATGCAGGCAGTGCTTGACGAGGCTTTGCGTCTATATCCTCCCGTAGCCGGCGGCGGATCGCCTCGAAAGGTAGCCAAAGGGGGGGTCCAAATTGCCGGTTATTTTGTGCCCGAAAATGTAAGCTTTTTTCTGAATGTTCCCAATGCTTAAGCAAGAAGACACTGACAGTAAGCTTCGTTTGGCGCCAGACCTTGGTTGAGAATGATATGTGGGCATTACACCACAATCCAAAGTACTTTGCGCAGCCGGAATCCTTCGTACCGGAACGATGGTTAGGCCACAAAGATTTTCAAGATGATCAGCTTGGCGCTGTAAAGCCATTTTCTATTGGCCCCCGTAACTGCATTGGGATGAAGTACGTTCTCGCCCTTGACATTCATGATACTCCTGAATTATAAACGTAGAGGCAAAGTCTAACGAGAGGATGGCAGCTTGGCGTATTCGGAAATGCGTATGATTTTGGCGAGGACTATCTGGGAGTTTGATATTCGTCTTTGCGAGACTAGCAGGAATTGGTACGACGAGAGTAAAGTATACCTCGCATGGCAAAGACCTCCTCTACATGTTTACCTAGTATCAAGGAATAAGGAAAATAAGCTAGTTTAATAAAAATTAGATTTATATAAGTATTAAAAGAATTTAGTTAAGATATTAAATTATAATAAGAAATACATGAGTATTAGTATATATTGGGAAAATTAATAAAAGTATTTAATTAATTTCTTTATTACTACTTGTAGCTTGACTGTTGATTTGCGGCTGTTTCTCGACTACTTGAGTGCCACTAATCGGTGGCACGAAGCCGGAGTAACGATCTACTATAAATGCATATAATATCTAGTATCGCTAGTACGGTTAGTTTGTTCTTTACGTGACTCTCTCGTATCTTCCTATACTTGGTAGTATTTTATCAAGTGCACTATGACGGAGATTGAGAATGTCTAGAGCTCTCTCGCCCGCGCAAGCATGTGATCCAAACTGACGATCCATTTGCAGAATGGAAAGTCTCTTACTGAGTCACCAAGTAGTTGATGGGCGTTTTTCGATCGGCAAAAGATTTCTTTTTTGCTTTCGGGAAGCTAGATGCCGATGCAGCGTCCAAGGCAGGCCTGTGATGTCTCGGTATAAACGTGACACCCGCCCACTCTTGAGACAGTGCTTGACTTTCAGCTACAAAAAAAGCAACAGAGCACGCCTGTCGCATCGGAGAATTTTTTGGGGACTGCAGATCACCGATGAGCCCCATCAGCCCCTCATCTGCATAAACAATAAATTGTACCCAGCAGTAATGTTTGCCTGACTTCCTTCAGTCCGGCTTTTTGTACGGCATTGCATGTGGAACAAGGCCGCCTATGCAGCAGCGAAGAAACACCCCGTATCTGTGGGAAAATAGCCGACCAGGCTTAAGACATGAAAGTTGGTAGTAAACTGGTGACATTTCACCCATCATCTCGAGTCTTGATTGAGTATTCGAACTCGCCGTAGGCTCAACAACATAGAACACATATATAGAGCGTACTGTAGCAGCTTTGATATATCTTGAAAATAATTTTTGCCCCCCTGTATTCTTCGTACCTTTATTGCTCAGAATATTCACTCGGCAACTGACAAGCAATGACTGTCTCAGGGCCGCCGCAGCTCCCACCTTTGACACCAGAGGCGCATAGATGGCAGACTGTCAAAACCAAGCCGCGCCGCGTTCAGCGTCGGAGCGTCGGAGCCGAGGCAATTGTCGGGCTGGAAGCGCAAAACTCAAAGGGTCAATATGATTTGTACATGGTTGCCACTCTTCAGTCATCAGTGGCATCGACAGCTTCCTCGACGGTCCTCACGCTGTCGCATTTGAAGGAAAAGTTTGAGCTGGCTCTGCTCACCGCTCGCTTTCAGCACCCCGAGTGCGCGGCTACTGTGTCGTGGGATGATCAGGTGCCAGCCATCATTTCCTACGAACCGCCTGAAAGCGACAAGGTCGCCCTTGCCTGGGCGAAAAACTGCGTCCACGTCCGATTAACGGCGAAAAGCGCATACGATGTCTGGGCCGAGTTGGAGGAGGAAAGGTCTGCGAGTAATTGCACCACACCATCCAAGTCTTTTGAGGTGTTTTTGATTGCCAACATTGAGCATCAGGACGCCGAAATTCCAGCGAGGGCTTGTGTTGATGTCCTGATTCACAGTAACCATCTATTTTGGGACGGCATCAGCTCCCGAATGTTTGTCGGAGAGCTTTTCCGCAGCTTAAATGACTTGCTCGGCTGTCCGACCGGACAGCAGCCGCCAACGTTCGATTGGGGAGAAGAGGTCAAGAATCTTAGCCCAGCCATCTTCGATTGCTTGTGTCTTGATGTTGAAGCCTTGGGAACAGAGTTTGATGACAAGTGCAAAGAGTATACGGCTGCGCTTGTCGGTAATTATGTATAGTCTGTCTTTCCTCTGCTTGCATGTGAACCCAAGCTAATAAATGCTGCTCCAGGGCAGCCGAGGTCTTCCTTTTACTCCCGGGCTCGGATTTCCACGTTGCGAGCTCATCACACTCAGCGCCGAGAAATCCAAGGCAATTATCAAAACCATAAAGACCCGACTCGGTCCCGAATACACTATCACGCACCTTGCACAAGCTGCTATCGTGCTCGCTCTGCTGGACACGCTCAAACCCGACGACCTAACTGACGACGAGTTTTTTGTGACACCAACTTCAGTGGACGGACGGCGGTGGATGGAAAAGGAAGTAGCCAACAGATTTTATCCAATGTGCCAGACCGCTGCTGTCGTTCGAGTTGATCATCTCAAGTCAATTCACGTTAGCCACGAGGACGCGAAGGAGACACAAATCGAGGCACTGGAACATGCGTGCAGAGATGTCAAGGCATCTTACGACCGATGGCTGAAGAACCCGTATCAACTGGCCCTCGGCCTCAGAGTGCACAACTTTGAAGCAAATTATTTGAAAGCGTATGTTGAAGCAGCGCCGCCTTGACAGCGCATGACGAATACAGCTGACACGAGCTCTTTACAGAAACCCTGTGCCCTTTCAAAAAGGGGCGGCAAATCCGGTATACCTTGTCGAGCAAATTGTCAGCAAACATCAACCGACTTACTCATATTTTTCACAGCTTTTTATCAGCGACGGGGTTAATGAACGGTTCCTTCCCCGCGACATAACCTCTGCTGCAACGGGAGAAACTCTTTTCACGATTGAGAAATTCGTTTTTCTCGTGAATCAGATCCTCCCATATTTGTTTGTACTACGAAAACGGAGATTCGACAAGTCTCACTGTGGCTAACAATATCTCAGGGGCGTCCGACTAGACAGCTGGAGAGATGCCTCGACAGTGAGCATCATTTATAATGAAGCCCACTACACCCAAGCAGTGGTACAGGCATTTCTCAAGTCCGTCATCGATTTCATGCTAGCTTTTATCGAATCATCTGGGACTCTATAATTAAGTAGTTGAGCTTTTCTAAGGAAATATATAGTATTTTGACTAGCCATTTATACAGTATTTTAATTGGCGCGATACTTGTGCGTGTATATAGTGCCGACTTTTAAAGTAGGCTGCGGGCACCTGTAGGTGCATGGTTACCGCCATTCTTCCGGCAAGGTAGGTGTTCGGTGTGGCCTGTGGCCTGTGGCTCTGCCATCTGGCCCAAGACGTACCGAATAAATACATCAAGATTCCCCCTTTGCTGACAGTAGGTGTGTGGCACGTGTATACAGTGGGTGTAGCGTATGGGGAATCCAGGTTTCACGTCTGCAGGCTAATTACCGCTGAGACAGGGCACCCGCTGCACCACACGCCTAATGGGGATATTTCTACTTGGAAATCGGGGGGTATAAAACCCTGAGAAAAGCGGATGAACATTGACGACTTATACGAGACTTATCTCAGGCAGTGATAATCCCATGCCTGATACGGAAAAGGAAAGACTCAAGAGGAGATTTAGCCATTCAGAATAAAAAGCAAGCGAAGATGTACGTCGTAGCTTTCGCGACTTTACCCCCCATTTTCTTGCTGACTTGGCCTGTTAATACTCGAGGTGAAGCTATACTATAGCTAAAAGGAATGATAACTTATCATACGCGCCAGCTCACCTCGATTATCCGTCGGCGCATGAAGCACGGTAATCGGATAATGTTATCTTAAACTCTACTGGTGCGGCCTGCGCAACATTTACCGATTACGTGACTTTTCAGTGTCCTAGTTGGGCGGCTTGCAGGCGCCTGCCTGGTCGCGTACTTGGGGCCGTCTCCCGTTTATTAATCAGACTATATTCACTAGACCAGCCAGGCTCCAGTGTTCTGCTTTTGCGCGCGCGTCGCGGACGCGGCAGCTCAGACCTATTCCCACCGGGGTTTCGCTCCATCACGGATAACATTCCGATAAAGATGGAATGGGAATCTTTTGTTGGACTTCCCATCAATCAGTGAAGAGAAAATGATAAAGGCTGCTTCATCTGAGATGATGTGATAATATCGGGCAAAATACGAAGATTGTGTATGGGTGTGCTGTGTGAGACAGTGTGTTCAGATGCTAAGATGCGAACCAATGGCGCCCCTGCTTCCGCCACCGCCACCGCCACCACCACCACGAACGCTTCTGCTACGTAGCAAGGAGCAACGCGTTCTTCGTAATCCGTACATAGATAACGCAATGGCATCCCCTATCAACGGCATACAAGAAAATGCATGTCTGAGTATTCTGCCCGGGAATTAGCGCAGCATCTCGGTGAAGAGCTAAGGGTTCCAGACACTGATATCCCGCCATGGCCCGTCTTTGCTTCCTACCGCTACAATGCAAAGCGCTAATATTCTATCGAACCTGCTGTTTTCAATTCCATCGTTCATGAGTCAATAATTCCCAAAAACCGGAACTACAGAGATCCGGGAGTGGAGGCGTTTACGGAGTCTATGTATCCCGTACTACTTTCCCTGGAGCGTCATGTATCGCCAGCATGTTGGGGAGCTCAATCCGGTATGCGTTGCACGGCAAATCTGCAGCATTGGGATAAAGAGGGCGCCAAGCAGATATCACAAACCGGACCGCATTCAATATCGTATTCTTGAGAAACTCATATGTAAGAGTCGCACCTTTTCCTTTATCCGATTCTAATTTGCCATCTCGATTTGCCATCTCGATTTCAATAATTGCATTCCGTTACACCCTTGCTCTGATTCACTTTCTGTTAAGCGACCCTCGCGTTTCTCCTTGCTTTACCTGAATCTTCTTCCCGCGCCAGCAAGGCTCCCCATCATGAGCTGGCTGGAGAAACCGCGGAATCCCTGCAAAGTCATGACAACAGACAACAATGTTGCTCGATTCATCAATGCCATGCAGACACTACTCGATGAGAGGGATGCCTCCAAACTCAACGCCTTAGCTCAACGCCTAAGCCCATTTAGGATCGACTTGCAACACAAGCATAGCCTTGGCACTGTCACGGTTGAACCCATCTTGATATTCGAGGAAGAACAATCCACACAGTATGTTTATGTTTCAGTGTGTGTGTGTGTGTGAGTGTGGGAGAGAGAGAGTGAGAGTGGCGTGTGTCTGTGCTTGAGTGTGCGTCTGTGTTTGAATGTGTGTGTGAGGATGGGAGTGCATGCCCACCCGATACCAGCACACACTACTGCTTCTGTTGCCAAATTATTCTAACAGTCCGTTAGAATTGATACGCTAGACCCAACCTGCCTGTCGTATTTGAGTCCAGTGAGAAGCATTAATTCGCAAGGCACGTACGACAATCCGGTCACGACGACAGAGCATGACGGTTTATTCCTACCCGAGCTGCATGACACGGCAGCCGAGTTTGTCTCTCCCGCCCCGGAATACAGCTCGAATATATCCGAAGCTGAAATGATGGACATGACGATGGCCAGTCTGGACATGACCCAGGTTTGCCTCTCTCCCAACGTCTCATATTTCATCCCTACCTGTACTATACTTTCAAACCCTTTTGCCCTCAACCAGCCAGTCACTCGCCTTGTAACACGAGGCTAATACTACGAACAAAAGGCAGATGAAGGCACTTTAGAAAACACGCTCACACCAGACCTCAGTGGTATCGCCGCAGGTTACTCAGTGTCGAGCATTAGCTCTGGACAAGAGCCCATCACGGTACCCGGTATCCAACGCAAGGATGCCTCACTCCCCCCTTCATGCTCTGATGCCATGGCACCTGAGCTGCACCAGCAACAACAGCAACAACAACAACAACAACAACAACAACGTGATGTAGATGCAGTCTGTCAGTCGACCGTCACGGTGTCGCCGATCGGGACTGCTGCCTCAACGCCAGGCGATGCAGCAAACAACTCCCCAGACGCACGAGTCGGTTATTCGTCTCCCGGCTGTGAGTACACCGATGCGATGCATGCCGCATCTGCTGCCGTCAGGTCGGACGATGCAGCTCACCAGACAGCGCCCACCAAAGAGCGAGGCGCGCTTTCTGACGACGCCGTGCACAAGGCAATGCTCATAGCCCAAACTTGCATTTCATCCCACAGCATCCAGTTCCTGGAAGCCAATCTGGCGCGGTGGTGTCGGCATGGCTTGTGGCACAACTCTTCCCCACTCAACAAGACGGCCAGCTTGAGTGGCTATGAAAAACTGCAGAGGGCCTACTCCTTTGTCTACAGGCTAGACACGCGCATGAGCGAAGATGCTATTCGCAGCCGAATGGCCATGGTGACGCTGCATCTCGAGTACGAAAATGCCTTTCTCAAGTGGAACACTAAGCGTAGTAGGCCGAACCGCCCCTCGACCAGCGTCGGTCGCGGCCACACGAGCTCCATCATTGACACCATTCTCGAAAGCGTACACATGGACTGGAGCTGCTATCAGCCGCGCGAGAAGGCTGCTCTGCGAACCAAGTTTCACGAGTGGAAGCGCTTTGGAAAGCGTTGGTGGTTGTTGGCCAGTATCCTTGGCCCGAGCATTATGCTCCTCGCCTCAGCAAGGTTTGCTGGCATGGTGTAGGCATGCCCATGTTCTTGGCCCTCGCAGTGTTGTTTGCGATGTTGGTACATATGCTAACTCCTCTCTCTCTCTGCAAAAGTAAAAATACCACAATTACAACGGCCATGCTCACGGCTGTAGGAAGGGCCGTTGAGGCAACCGAGCCACAGATCATGTCAGCCTTGGGAGTGGTCAATCCCATCACGAAAAGCCTATTCTGCAATAAAGACCATGAAAGCCATGACATTGAGTTGCTTCTGAAGCAGCTTCGCGAGACTGGTCTACATATGCGGGCGGCTGGTGCTGTTTCCTAGCGGCCAGGCTAGGGGACAGGCCAAGGTAACTGCATCATATACATCTTACGGTTTTCCATATCTTGCTCCATAACGACAATTCGACATTATTCCTTCAAATGAATTTCTCGCTTTCCCTTCTCTGCACTTTCCACACATTGTTTTTTTTTTTCAAAAAAAAGGAACAAAAAAAAACAAAAAAAGAATTCTTTGTAAGGATGATGGAGGCCTTTCACAGGCGAGGCGCAGGATATTCTCATCAACGCACCCCTTTCAAATCAACAGGGCATCAATGTCGTCTGTAAGATCCTGGAAAATAAATTTGCTGCTGTGTCCGGCGACGGTTATATTGGCCCCGTCGGTGGGTAGTGAAACCAGGTAGATGCGGTTGGCCATTTGTTGGGCGCACGTAGCCAAACTATTGCCCAAGCGGCTGGGGAGGAAGCCCAAGAAATCGACCTGCCGAAATGTTTTGTCTTGCGAGCGGAAAACGCCAACTCCACCTGCAGGGTGGTCGGGAGTCGAGTTTTCCGTTGCCAACAAGACGGTGCTGTCATACCTTTCAGGAATGGTGAGCACGTTGGACGTGTTGAAGCCATGGTGCGGTGTCTGCTTGATGATGGTGGGCGGCGTACCATCTGGATTGCGCGTGTCGAAGCGAACAAATTGCCCAATTGTATTGTCGTTGCTGATGATGATGTCGTCAATGTGAGTGATGCCCGTGAAGCCGTACGGGCGAGGCAGCCCCAGTGGCTCCTCGACGTACATTGTCGAGATCTCTCGGTCAGGCGTGACGCGTAGAATGTTGGACTTGTACACACCGAGCACGTATGTATTTCCGTCGCTCCCCAATTCGGCGTCAGCATAGCCCGCGTATAACCCGTTGTTGAGATGAAGCTTGTTCGTCACCGTCATGGTCTCAATGTCCATGCTTATCAAATAGTCTGGTCCCGAGATGTTGACCCCGCCAGAATAGAATGCATCTCCATTGTCAATCAACAGCTCTAGAGTTTTAGGTCTGTCGTTGCTCGGTCTCAGAACAATGCCGCTGGCGTGAAGCGGCTTCACGGCTGTATCTCCAGGATGGCTGAGTCCTGGAAATTGGATTGTTTCAAGGACTTTGTTTTGATACGGGTCAAAGACGCTGAGACTCGCATTATAAAGATTGCTGAGATGGTAAAAAGAGTTTTTGTCAGCGAGATGAATTTTTGATGGATGCGACTCAAGGATCTTTGATGGCAGTGACTATACTCACCCGACATATGCAACGCAGCGTCTCTTGTCCCATTGGAAAATCTCAGGATAGCCCATGTAGACATCATAGACGAGATTTCCTTTGGAAAGAGGTGGACATGCGCGATGCAGCCCGTAGTCGAGGCCAGCAGAGGATAGGATGCCGCCCAGGGAAGCGAGAGTGCTGAGAACAATTTGCGGAAACATGATGACGATACCGTTTCTGCGCAATCCATAACAGTGGCAGTTTGACAGTTATAAGAGTTTACATTGCTCGAGCAAAACCTGGCTTTTTCTATGTGCGTCCAGTACTCTTCAGGAACTGCATTCCATCGATCCAATCATCAGTAGTTCACTGTGATTCATATGAGTTTGTGCAACTCCAAGGTGTTTGTGGCGAAGACAGAAAGCCACTTCATAGCTCAGATTTCACTCCTCAGGCTTATAGTAAGACAATTTCGAGGCCTGACTACGGAGTTACGACACCCGGATGCCGAACTTGAAATTTCGGATCTTCTCCAAATGGTGGTATGCCACACTCGCAGCACTGGCATTCTCCGTCTATCGCCGCCAGCCTCTTAGCCTTGGCTACTGGTTGAGCAGAGTCTTTCACACTGCAAGAGCCGAGGTTTAATTAAAGAAAAACTAGAATAATACCCGGATCTCACAAGACAAATATGGAAATCTACTTCATTACTCCAGCTCCGTGTTGGTTGATGGACCCGTATGATCCTACCCTATACATTGGGCAGCTTGCTGAACGACGACTTCGACCGAGTAGCGGAAGACGACGGACCTGACCAACCCTGCCGGTTGAACTGATGGAGATGGAACATAACTACGTAAACTGAATTATAGCTATGATTTGTCTTATAATGCCTAGATAAAAAGATAAATTTGTGTTCTTTTTGCTAGTCTAGGAATGCGGCGAATCCATGTTCCCCAGTCCTGCTTCTGCGTCTACGTTTGTGCCGCAGCTGCGACGAGAGCCAGTGTATCACCAATCTTGTCCAAATAATCAGCAGTGCAGTGGCTCGCGTTAGCGCTTAGTGCAATCTGCCAGGTGCCCTCTACGGGGCTAGCGATTATCCATATCTGTTCAGAATGCTCCCATACGCCACGAGGGCCATGAACGAGCAGTGGCACTTGCGCTCCATCGCCGAGCAAATCAATTGACCGAGAGTCAAGATCATTGAAGTGTACATTGTAAGACATTTTTTGATCGCCCTCTGGCCAGTCAGTGCAAGCCTTGTAGATGTCTTGCAGCGTTGCCATCTCCGCGGGGAGCATGTCAAGCTGAGCCTTTCGCACAAGACCGACGGTCGTGTTGAAATTTGGCTCTTCTGGTAGCACAACTCGCAAAGGTACCTGGTTGAGGCAAGGGCCAACAATGTTGGTTAGGTTTGCGGAAAGCATGGCCCGTCCAGAGACTGTGAGGGTAACATGCACATCTCGGGTGTCGTAAAGCCGGGCCAGAGTTTCGGCACATACGGCCAGGAACACGTTGGCTTCGGTGAAGCTCGCCTGCTTGGGGGGACATGAAACCACCCTCGAACTGGTCAAGATTTGACTACTATGTCCTGTAGGATGTAGCGCCAGAGGCTTGGACCCGTGGAGCGCTTTCTTCCAATACTGCAGTGTATTGCCGCTTTGCTCACAGACATGGGAAATATAGCTCACGAAGCTGGGAATGGCTGGCCATAATTTTCCTTGAAGCTCGGCGGCAAGGCAGTCTAGAATCGGGGGGAGGCTCATTCCATCGTAATGAGCATGAGATAGGCGAATGGCCAGTCGTGTAGGTGTATCTGGACGGTGAAGCAGCATGAACTTGACGTAAATGGCTCCCGACTCCAATCGTGACTTCAAGCTCTCCTCAAAAACACGCTTGGACTCGCTTTCCAACTTGTTTGAGTCGTTGACAGTATAAAGCTCGAGCGGTACCACAGACTGTTCCGAGACAACTTGCAAGAGCTGGCTCGACTCTGGCCGCAGGACAAAAACGGTCCTCAACATGTCGATCCTGTCCCACAGCTTCTGAGCAAAAGTAGTGATTTTTTTCAGCTCGATACTCTGTGGTATGTCGATATAGAACACGTAGCATCCCTGCGGTGGCGTGTGCATGGCGGCTTCGACGCATAGGGACTGCGTGTGTGTCGTAGGCGCAATGTCGCGCACCTGCTCCGGCGGGATGCGCAGGGCCGGGGCGATTTGCGCGCGCAAGTCGCTTAATTCGTTTTCTGATATATTCAAGAGACTAAAAGGCTCGATTCTGGACTCAGAGCTGACCTCATCAGTGGCCTTTTTGGCCCATGTCTCGTCGTCGCCCACACCCGACAGAAGAACCTTGGCATTGCCCAAGCACGACTGCGCTGCAACATCGGCAAGAGACTTTGCCGTGAGAAGTCTAGCGACCGACACAACGACGTGACTCGTTCGGCAACGCGGGCTGACTCTCATGGCTGCAATAGAGTCACCGCCATTGGCGACAAAGGAGCGATCGAGGTTGATGTTGGTAACCGGTACTTGGAGAACAAAGCTGCAGGCGTCGCGAAGGACTCGCTCTGTATCGGTTTTTGGTTCTCGGAAAATTGATATCGTTGTTGTTTGTGAACTCATGTTGTCGTGTTTGTGTCAAATCTTTGTTGCGATGAATTAGTAGAGAATGAAATGGGGGTTTACGGCCGCATCGACAAATGTGTGCGTGCTCGCGCGTATAGTCTCTGTATATGAGAGGAGGAAATAGAACTCTGGTACAAAGTACTCCGTACACTTTATCGCAGCCGTCTCTGCCTGCAAGGCTGATAAAATGTCATCCCGTGGTGCACTGTAGCTGGAGGTGGCCCAGTGAGATCGCCATGGTCAATTCTACAGCGCGAGGGGTAGCAGCTGAGACATTAGTGTCTTTGCCACAGAAGGGGATGCGACTTTCATGCCACCAAATTCCATGTCCTGCAATACCAGTTTCTTCAGGCTAACTGAGGTCCTTGTTCCAATTCGCGCAAGCCGTACGCATCTGCATCCCATCGTGTTATATGGCAATGGTTGGAGCCGTTCCCGTCCTCTTGCCTCGTAAGCCACCAAACTACATGGCGTTTATTGACTTGATAATATTTCCGCATGAGGTATAAACTAGCATTATATAGTAGTGTGCTGAGTCTGATGTGTCTTGACGTCCTGGTAGTGGTGGGGCGCTCTTGTTTCGTAGATATTTATCTATAAACAAGTCATCGCGGAACTTAAAGTACATCCAGTAATGCGTACTTTTCACAGTTCTGACCCTTTCTTCATTTCACTTTGCCAGTAGCCACTTCAAACCCTCACGCCTTTTGCGGTGATATTCTTCGGTCCCCTCTAGCTCTGGCAACACCACCCACCAGCCATGCGGCATGCCGGGATAGATGTCCATTCTTGTCAGCACTTCTGCATCCTGAAGTAGCTGCTCATAGATGATGCCGTCATCGCGGAAGGGGTCAAGCCCACATACATCGATATAGGTCTTGGGCAGGCCGGCGTGACCTTGTGGGTGATGCGCCGGCGCATGATAGTGCGACTCGAGCTTTGGCTTGTAGCATTCTGTTACTCAACAGGCTCTTGTTAGCTTCTTCATCCAAGATGTCTCAAGAATCGAGGACAAAAGTGCAAGACGCTTGCCTTTGATGAAATCCAGAAAAGGCTGATCTAGAATGGGAGCCGCCTTGTTCTGGACGCGACTCAGCCACAGCGATTGGTATTTGTCTGGTAACTTTTGATGGGAAGAGACGAGCTCTGGAACGCAGAGATAAGTGCCTGTCAAAGCTGGCTCAAGTTTCTCATCTCGTGCGACAAGGGCCATGGAGGCAGCTATGTTGCCGCCCGCCGACAGACCGGCGACGAGAAAACCCAAGGAGGGATCCGCACCCAGGACGGCATAGTTTTTGGAAACCTACAGAAGAGCTTAGCTTTTGACAACCTTCGTCTACACATCTCTTTTGGTTAGCCGTAGCCATTCCAACATACCCACACCATCGCATCCCAAGCATCATTTTTGCCGGTTGGGAAAGGGTGCTCAGGCGCCAATCGGTAATCGACATCAATCACGACGGCGCCATGGTCTCGCACAAGAGCTTGGCAAAATGGGCTTGAGGTATTGAGATCGCCCAGAATGTACCCTCCGCCGTGATAGTGGACGACAAGCGGCAAACCCGGCGTTGGTGGCATCGCGGGACGATACCATCGTAGTTTTATGGTGGTCCCATCGCGGACGGGACATACCAAGTCAGTCTCCAGGATGGCTGAGTCTAAGGGTAGCCGGCTGCCAGCCAGATTGGCGCGGAGTTGGGCGAGAACATCGAGGTCAAACCTCTTTGGCTGGTTCTGCAAAATCGAGCAAGATTCTAGAGCCTGTACGGCAGTGAGCATAGGTAATGGCTGTAGTCATTTTTGGAGGCCGCGTTGCTTCTTTCCCTAGAACAATACTTACCCTGGTGAGTTGAGGAGACGGTGTGCCCAGAGCGAGAAGCCTTTCCCGAGTCCAAGCCGTCATGTTGACTTGGTGATTTCTTTACTTGTTGCGAGTCTTAATGAGATGGCGACTAGCCGGCTAGACAATTTCGAGTGAGAGATGCTGATCTTTATATATTACGCACTGTGTTTACTATAGTATATCATCTTTACAGCCTAGGAGGTGATCGAAACTATGACCAATATTCTATAATTTAGTAAATGATATGTTTCTACTTTAAACAGCGTAGAATATATTATAGCCGGTAGTAATACATTATCAATATCTAACCTAGCTATTCTATAGATAGTAGTTCTCCTAAAATAGTAAATAAGTTAGTTAACTAGTTTTTATTAATTTCTATTATATAATATTTAATTTTACTTTATTTTAAGACTTCATAACATTATTTAAATAATTTGTTTAAGTTAAAAGAAAGTAAAGAACTCCTATCTAAATTATAATAATTATTATATATAAAATACTAAAGTTAATCTATCTTATATTTAAGTTTATAAGTACTACTTAGACAAGAAATAATCAGAAGCTTAGTAACTAAAGAGACTAAAAACGTAATTAAAAAGTAATTATCCTAAAAGTAGTCTTAGACTTATATAAGTAGGTATTTAAGACCTTATAAGAGATAGGCTTTAAAATTTCATTATTTTATGATAAAATGAGATACCTATACTTTGTACCTTTAAGAAAGTCACTAGCATATTAGAAAAAAAAGTAGTTTAGTAGAATTAGGACTGTAGGCTGTTGTTTCTTTAGATTCGTAGATTAAAATCAACGAAAACTAGGCGACAAATGCGGATTGACTACTACATCTCGACAGCAGCTGGACAATTAATTGTATCTTGCTGAAGCAGGTGAATTCAAAGACCGCGAAGAGGGAACTTTAGATAAGAATGCCTCTCCCGTCGCCACCGTACGCAGCCACATCCAACCGTTCGATTGAGCTAGTTACTGTCGCAGACGAGTGCCGGAATTTTGAGGTCTTCGAAATGCCAGATGACGCCACTCATAATAATGACATATTAATGCCAAAGCTATACATTATTGCCACTTCTTCACATATATAAAGATTTCATACATCTCCTCCTCATAAGATTTTGGCTCTCGCTGTGCCGCTGCTTCATACAGTGTTCGGTAACAAAAGAAATATCCGGTTGAACATGGCTTCAAGATACTCATTGCCACGATCCGGACTTGACGCAGATGATCTAATAGCAGAGTTGGCCGCGTTGCTATGCAGCGTTGACTCCAGCTGCGTGGAAGACGTCTTTCCTTGCACGCCATGGCAACAAGAGTGCCTAGCTTCGGCGACTCTTGTCAGAAAGAACTGTTTGTCCCGTTATCAGTGGAAGTTGCGGCAAACAGTCAATGACGCACGCTTCCGAGCTGCCGTTGAAGCGGTCATCGACTCGACGCCAGTGCTGCGAACGCGGATCATAGAGCTCCCCAGCCGCGGTGCCGTGAATGTTGTGGTACGCCAACCTGTGTCATGGATCAAGAAGATATCTCCAGAAGAATGCATTGATGGGGACGAGATGGCCATGGCCATGGACGACACGGGTACACCTTTGAGCCGATGTGGCTTTGTCGAAAAAGACGAACATGGCGACAACTACTTCATCTGGGCGCTACATCCCGCCATCCATGACGACACTTCACTGCGTCAGCACCTCCGCGAGATAGACCAGACGTACTCAGGTCTGGAGCGGGCCAGTTCATTGCCGTTTCAGCTGTACGTAAGGTTTTGTGAAACCCTTGACGAAAGACGAGCTACTATGTTTTGGGAAAGGAAGCTAAGCGGCGCCAAAGCTGCCCCATTCCCGCATGTAGCATCAGGTGCTGCGGCACAAGTGCGCCCGGACAAATCTCTGCAACAATACATCACCGGCCCGCTGGAGCTTGGCAAGGGCGACAGCGCCGCGTCGGCCACGGTATGGATGGCCTGGGCAATGCTGACGGCACGTTATACCGATTCAGAGGAGGTATTGTTCGGCGCCCAAGTCACCGGTAGACAGGCGGCGATGGAGGAGATTGATCGAATTGCCGGCCCGACGACATCGACTGTTCCTATTTGGGCCTCCATTGACTGGCAGTCCACGATCAGCGAGGTGCGCCAGCAAATGCAGCGGCAGGCCGCCGACCTGGTACCATTTGCACAGTTAGGGCTGAAGAGAATTCGACAACTAAGCGCTGAGGCAGACAAGGCATCACGGTTCCAGTCTCTCATCGGGGTTCCATTAGCACAAGATGTGGAACGGTATTCGAGTGACGTGTTCGCATCCGAATTCGAGGATATGGGCACAGCTGGCAGTTTTCCACGCGAGAACTACGCCGTGGTCATTACTTGCCGTATTTTGGCGCAAGGAGTACGGTGTAACATGGAATTTGACTCGTCCATTGTTCATGAGAAAGAGGCACAGATGATGCTTGAGCAGTTTTGTCACATTCTGCAGCTCGTATGCTCACCCACCAACAATATCACTAGGTTGAGTGACCTGGACATGGCTAGCCCTCGGGACCTGCAGGACATCTGGAGCAAGAATGCAGTCGTGCCAGCAGCTGTCAATGACTGCGTGCACACCATCATTGCAGAGAATACCGCCCGGCAAAGACACGCACCAGCAGTGTGCGGCTGGGATGGCGAGCTGACATACGCCGAGCTGGACAAGCTGTCGACGCAACTAGCCTACCATCTGATTGACCTTGGAGTACAATCTGGGTCCATCATACCTTTGTGTTTTGAAAAGTCCATGTGGACGCCAGTTGCCATGTTGGCGGTAATGAAGACTGGCAGCGCCTCTGTTGCTCTTGACATTGCGCATCCATTGCTTCGACTACAGACCATTGTGGAAAAGTATGACCGAGAAGTCATTCTCTGCTCGCAGAAACAAGAAACCATGGCAAGATCTCTAGGCTTTCGCAATGTCTGTATTGTTGATAGAGATCATATTGCTCGGCAAAGAGCTGGTGCCTCGGAGCTGCCGCAGGTTTCCCCTTCGCAAACCCTTTTCATCACGTACACTTCAGGAAGTACTGGTGCCCCCAAAGGAGCATGCATCTCTCACTCAAACGTATGTGCTGCTATACACTACCAAGGCCATGTCCTCGGCTTTCGCACCACGTCCAGAGTGTTGGACTTTTCACCGTACAGCTTCGACGTGTCTTGGTCCAATGTTTTGCACACGCTCTGTGCGGGGGGCTGCCTTTGTGTGGCTTCAATGGACGAGATGCTGGACAGCATCGACGACACGCTACTACGTTACCGTGTCAACCTTATCAACATAACGCCGAGCACACTCCGGGCCATCACGCCGGAGCATTCGCCGCTTGAGACAATTCTGCTGAGCGGCGAGCGACCAAACAGCCATGTGCTCTCGCAGTGGATAGACAAAGTCTGCATCAAGAACACATACGGCCCTTCTGAGTGTACATTTAAAAGCGCGCATGTAATCGTATCGACTGCAAACCTACAGAATCCCGACATTGGGCAGACATTTGGTGTCTGTGGCTGGGTTGTCCAGCCGGGGAGGGACGATCTCCTCGCTCCAGTTGGCCAAGTTGGCGAGCTGTTGATTGAAGGTCCTCTGGTAGGCCAAGGATATCTGAATGAGGTCGAAAAAACATCGGCCTCGTTCATTCATGACCCGCCCTGGTTGCTGAGAGGCGGGCCAGGTGTTGTTGGCCGACATGGGCGGCTGTACAAGACGGGTGATCTGGTACGCTACAACGTCGATGGAACGATGCAATTCGTCGGGCGCAGAGATGAGCAGGTCAAAATTCGCGGACAGCGCGTCGAACTTGGCGAGGTCGAGCACCATGTGCAGAAGCATCTGGCCACGACACCAGCGACGACATTACCGTTTGCCGTGGAGCTGATTACACCGCGGGGATCGCAAAATGCCATGCTCGTAGTTTTCATCTCTATTCCAAGAACGGAGAGCAACTGTAGCATGGAGACGGTTGTCGAGGAGCTGATGGTGGGACTTAACGACAAGCTTGCGCAAGCACTGCCCAGTTACATGATTCCAAGCTCCTATGTTCCCATTACTGAGCTGCCCATGGGAGGAACTGGCAAGATACACCGCCGAAGGCTTCGTCAGATTGGCTCAGAGCTATCGCGGGAGCAATTACTAGCGACCGCAGTGTAAATAGTGAGAGTCAATATTACAATGGCACTGCGGATACATTACTACGCGAGCCTGTGGTCCAAAATTCCTGCCTTCAAAAAGCATTCAGGATATTGATTATAATTCATTGACTTAAGAGCTTCTGACCCAAAAGTGAGTAAAAATGTCATTTATCGGTCCAGATTTACTGCTTCTACCATGAAAGCGTCATAATAGCCGGGCCAGGTATTCATCGCTCCAAGGCCGATTGTAAAACGGTTGAGCTGTTTGTGGCATCATTATTGTTGAGCAATGCACAATACAAGACGTACAACGTTTTCTGTTCAACAGACGACCGATATACTCAAAGCTGTAAACATTTACTCAAAATTCATTGTACACGAACTAGCATATTTCTTGCCTGAAAACAAGTTATACTAAACTTTGGCGATCGAGCGAAGTTTCTTAATCGCGAATCTAATTCCTGAAAGCAGCCATGCAAAGTCTCTCGGACGCTCAGCGCCGTGGGTATTTCTACCCGCACGTCCCTTCAAGTCTGATCTATGAGGTAGACCTATGCGATATTAATGACTTGAACCAAGAAAAAAAAAGGAGGGCAGACAAAATAAGAGCAAAACCAGGGACAAATTGCAATTGCGAGTGAAAAAAAAATGCTTACGGCGACGTGTGGGAACTGCTTCTCGGAGCATGTCAAACTCGTCGTGGGAGACCAGACCCAAAAGGTCAATGAGATATGAGATCATCCAACAGCAGAAGATTGCGCCTAGGATTTTGGCAAATGCTGTCTCCATCTTCAATGCTGGAGCAATGCCTAATTTTACCCTGCTTCGCTTCCTCATCCTCCTTTATATATTTAGACTCTGGTTAGGAGAATCCGGGGTTCTGAGGCACAAAGGCAGACAGCGCTTCGAAGATCCAGCGAAGTACCCCAAGTGCACATATATGATGATAATATCAGCGCTGCTATACTCATTGACGTGCATTATTGTGGCAGCTATTGAACCGATGCTACTGCCAGAGTAACCCTGTGGCGACTATATTACATGCGGACGGAGGATAAACGTCTGCCATGTCTCGGTGCGCACTCGGTATGCAGGTTACGGCAGGCGATGCAGAAGATTCAAAATGCGATGTTTCTGCATCTAATAGAGTTTAAAAATGTTTTGCGAGTCGGTCAGTCGTGTCGATCGGCTTCTACTGCCTAGAGCTATGTCCTTCAGCTCAAGACGATACACTATGCAGCAACACGACATTGGCATCATTGCAGAGTAGGAGTGTGGCTGTCTGTGATATATACAGAGTAACTTATTATGTGAAAGATCTATTTATTAACCACAACTACGATGTTATTATAACCTCCATCCCCCCCCCTCAGGGCAAATTTATTCCTTTTCCATCGACATCTCCTCACCCCGACCACAGTCTCTTTTGAGCCTTTTCATCATGAACCGCATCATGTTGCATTTGGTTGAATTTGCGCAGAGGGCTCCCCAAATTGCAGCTGCCGCTGCCATTTTCGGCGGCTTCGTAGTCTACTTTATTTACACTTGCTTCTACAACATTTACCTGCACCCATTACGCCATATTCCCGGCTCAAAATGGGCCGTCATTGGGCCCTATCTGGAGTTCTATCACGAGGTGATCAGAGATGGTCAGTATCTTTGGGAGATTGAAAAGATGCACCAGAAATTCGGTAAGGCAACAACCATCCGCTCAATGCTTTAACACATCCCTACATTGCGGATGAACCATCCCAGCCGTGACTCATGAGTGACTGTTGAATGGCTGACTCTCTCAAGGCCCCATCATTCGTGTGAATGCTCGTGAAATCCACATTCGAGACCCTGAATTTTATCACACAATCTATACCGCCGGCAGCCGCAAGACAAACAAGGATCCCGACACTGTCGGAGCCTTTGATGTCCCCAATGCCATGGCCGGAACCGTTGAGCACGATCACCATCGTGCGCGCCGCGGCTACCTGAACAGCTACTTTGCCAAGCGCGCCATTGCCGCCTTGGAGCCCACCGTCCACGAGCGTGTCTCCAAGGCCTTTACTCGTATCGACGAGCATCTCGACGAAAACAAGATTCTGAGCTTGGACGGTGTCTTTTGCGCACTCACGGCCGATGTCATTAGTTCTCGCTTCTACGGCAAGCACCAGGATTATCTCAGCATCCCCGACTTCCACTTTGTCGTGAGAGACGGCTTCCTCGGTCTGACCAAGGTTTATCATCTGGCGCGCTTCCTACCTATTATTGTTACTACTTTGAAGAGACTCCCGTATGGCTGCATTCGTATGGTCATTCCAGCCGTTGCCGATTTGCTGGTTATGCGCGATGAGATCAAAGTAAAAGGCGCAGATGAGTTTGTCGCTAGCCAAACATCCGAAAGCAAGTCGTCGGTCCTGGTTGGCGCCCTGGCAAACCCGCACATTCCGCCACACGAGAGGACCGTGGATCGTATGCTGGACGAAGGCACCGTTGTCTTGTTTGCTGGAACCGAGACTACCTCGAGGACCATGTGTGTCACCATGTTCTACCTCCTGACACATCCAGAGTGCCTTGCACGACTGCGTGCCGAGCTTGAAACCTTGCCGCCCTCGGAGGACTACAAGCACTCACTTCCGGCACTCGAAAACCTGCCCTACCTGACCGCGGTGATCCATGAAGGGCTTCGACTTACGTTCGGACCCATCAGCCGTTCCTCCCGCGTGGCCACTGAACAGGAGCTTGTTTACGGCGAGTATACCATTCCTGTCGGAGTAAGAACCATCTTTACTTTTTTGAAAATCTTTTTCTTCTGCAATGACGCATTTCAAAGCTAACGACAACCTGCAGACGCCCGTCAGCCAGTCTACCTACTTCATGCACTCCAACGAGAGTATCTTTCCCGACTACAAAAAGTTTGACCCCGAACGCTTCATCAAAGCTGCTAAAGAGGGCGTGAACCTCACAAAGTTTGTGACCAATTTTTCGGGGGGCAGCAGAATGTGCATTGGTTTCAAGTGAGTATCCTCCTCCCCGGATCTTCTTCTCGTTGCCCCATTTCCTTTGATGCGGAAGGCAACTAACCACGATCGCCATTTTAGCATGTCTTTTGCCGAAATGTACTTGACTCTCTCGCGCGTGGTCCGCCAATACGACTTTGAACTGTTCGACACCACGCTGGCCGACGTCGATATCACGCACGCCCGTATTGTTGGGTACCCCAAGGCCATTCCCGGAAAGAAGGAGTTTCTAGGAGAAATTCGTGTCAAGGTTTGCCGCAAGAATATCGCCACATTCTAGTCGGGCTGGAGACTTGACTGCGTGCGACATGGAAGGTATTCAGACGCATTGACCTACGCTGTCCCTGGGGGCTCTTGCAACGGAAGAATGAAAGGAAGTAATGTCAAATTCGGGATAGCTAAGAGGCCAGTAACGTAGTCGGTCTTTCTTGTCTTGTTTCTGAAAACGTTGCCAAGCTTACTACTTGCTCACTCTCATGTCTCTTTACACCATTGATCAATTACTTACGTGACCCAGACGACGTCGAAGATCGCCATGTTCAACTACAGAAAACATGATGAATGGTCATGAATTGTGCTATGCTAGATTCTATGTATGTAAATCAACTGTTGCGGGGCAGGCGCGACGTTGATCGCTAATTATCCACAAACTTTGCATAGGTGGTCAATCTATCGTCCGTCTTGAGCTTCTCAATCTCAACATCACGCAAACAGATTGTTATGGTTATACCATCCTCTACAGAGCGAGGCATCATGTAGATGAGGCCCTCGTAGGGGGCGAAGTGCGGGCGAACGACGGTGACGGGCTTGCCTAGGCCAAAATTGAAGTCATCGTCGTAGCAGTCCACCTTGACCCACGAGCTCAGGTTAATATCAATCGCAGAATCCGTCGAGGCAACAAACGAGTACCGCGTCTTGTCTGCATCACGCTCGAGCATCGTTGCCAGGCCGCTGAGCTCGCGCAGCGTCTTGGCTGGGTCGAGCGCCAGGCGCAGACGCGACGCGATCTCGCCTAGCGGCGCGTCCACAAGTTCTTGAATAGGGTAGCTGTTTAGGCTCTGACTCTGCATCAAGCCAGGATACTTGCTGGAGAGATTGCAATGGGAGCGAACATCGACGGCGCGCGTCATCCTCACCACTCTGTCTTGGGGTACCCGATGCTGACGAGCTCGCATGATCGCTTGCCAGACCAGAGCCGTCAGCGCGTCGTCGGTCGAAATGAAGCCCTCGGTCACCGTCTTTGTCGCGTCTGCTTTGAGTTTGACTAGTGCATCTGGGCTCACACGAATGGTGGCCCAACTGCAAGGTGGCGCCGGGTCGTTGTTCTTGGCTGGCGGAGTGGTAGGCGTGATCCACAGGGTACGAAACTCGCTCTCGAGGTCGTCTGAGCCTTGAATCAACGGAATCAGGGCTTTTCGCTCCATGTTGCCCACCGTCTTGTCTTCCTCGGTAAATGGAATACCGTGGCACGCCTGGGACAGCCAGTGCAAGATCTGCGCCTGCCCAATTATATCGATGGCACGGTGAACTGTGGCGGACGTGAGGATAAGCGCGCCAGGAGCCAGCGTTACTTGAAAGAGCAATACTGGCTCTGGGTCGTTTGCGGTCTCGCCAGGGCCGCCAGGAATGGTCATGCGCGGTGCAATTTTGGTCTCGTCAAACATGGACATGGGGAAGCCGGCAGCCGCCATTTCTTCCATCGACGGCATGGAACCATCTCGACGAGCGTCTTTGACGGTGAGGCGCGGGGTGACCTCGAAGGGCTTAATCTTGAAGACACCAGAGCTGTCGTGGCCGATGCGCTCGTGGATAATCTGACCAGCGAGCCAGGGAAAGTCCTTGGCAAGCTGGACAAGGCCTTTTCGTAATGTGCTTAGAATATCTTCGACTTGCGCATCCGCGTCAAGCCGGAAGACGGAGCTCAGCTGCGTATAGACCTGCAGCGCTGGTTGCTGACCAAGAATTTCCACTTCCATGTCTACTCCTTCAGGAAATGTGTCTTTGAACGCCATTATTTCGCTCGTGCTGGTGACTGATGATAGTTCTTCTTGTTTATCGTTGGCTCAGAGATGACGTTTCATGGAACTTGGGCCAAGTTTTTTTTCCCCCGCGTTCAAGCCCAGCAAGACGCGCAGTCACGGGATCATGTTCACCGCACTTTTTGTAGCACCAATACCATTTTATACCACAACACCTCCCATCGTTCCTAGGGATCTCCGCTCCAAATAGAATAGAGAAATGTTCTTACTATTGAGCGCTTACATCCGCACCGTAGTTAGCCCCTTTTAGCCGCTTCTCATCCCCACTGTAGCAGCTGGGTGTTTCTTAAAACTGCCTGTTATAGCGGGAGTTAACCCCTAAAGGGTATAGGCTCATCAGCAATATTTAGTGGAAGACACAGGCCTCCTTGTTGCTCGGCCTGTGGCCCGTGGCCAAATGGCCCACACAACTCAACCAAGACACACTTGATCCGTCACAAATAGTAGCAACGCCATCAGATTCAGGGCCTTCGAGCCATAGTCTTGTTTGACGATATCAGTCACAAGTCCAGCGAGCCAGCCTCTACGAGCCAGCCCGCGAGCAGCAGCCTTCAAGGACCAGCCTACGCGCACTAGCCCACGAGCACCACTCCGCTCGCCAGCCTATCAGCACCAGCCTGATGGCACCAAACACACGATTTCTAATGTAGGAAATTGATCCTACATCACTTGTACATTGTCGAGTATGCGCTTGAAAAATCGACCCCCAACAACTTTCTGTAGCATCAACGCCACAGGCAGCCTGCCGGGACTGGTTGGCATACGAATACAACTTGGCCACGTAGGTATCAGGCACACTGTGACTAACGGGGTATTTGGTTCCCATCTGTTTATGTCTCGGTTTTATTCTTTGGCCCCTCAAGTTTTGTAACAGCCCACGCAGCCGCATTAGTTTGGTGATGTGGCGGTTGCATCAAGCAAAGAGGCGAGCACGCAGCTGGAGCTTTTGAGCAGTGTTGGACACACGGGCAAGGGGCAACATTGAACTTTTTTGTTACTTACATGACTAAACCCACGCACAGGTTTCTATATTATACACATATCTGCAAACATATACACATAAAATGCAGATTATGCGTACATCCCTCTTTTCTCTACTCAACACCATACTAAGCCTGTTCTCAAGTGAACTCTCTCACTTTCCAAAACAAGACCTCACACTTCTTTACAACCCCAATTAACATGCCCGACACCGAGTTCCCTCTGGCCAACTTTCTCGGCGCCGCTGTGCGTCTTCTCGAGTACATTGAGTATCAGGACTGCAACTACACGCACGAAGAACGCATCGAGAATCTCCGCTATGCTTACGAAAAAGCCGCCCATCACTTTGCCCAAGAGCGCCAGCAGACGATGCTTAATGCGGACCCAAAGAGACTTCAGGCCTCTCTTCAGACGATTGTGGGCATGGTCGTCTACAGTTGGGCCAAGGTTTCCAAGGAGCTCATGGCAGACCTCAGCATCCATTACACCTATACCCTCGTCCTAGACGACAGCCATAACGACCCTCACACGCATATGCTCACCTACTTTGACGACTTGCAGGCTGGGCGTCCGCAGAGCCACCCCTGGTGGGTGCTGGTTAACGAGCACTTTCCCAATGTCCTTCGACACTTTGGGCCTTTTTGCTCACTCAACCTGATTCGGAGTACCCTTGACTGTAGGTTCTCCCATTCCAGTCAAAATGCAGACTGTGTGAATATGAGTAGGCAACTAACAGGACTTGACAAGTTTTCGAGGGGTGCTGGATTGAACAATACAATTTTCACGGCTATCAAGGCTCCTACGATTACCCGGATTTCCTTCGCCGCATGAACGGTCTCGGTCACTGTGTCGGAGCCTCCCTATGGCCCAAGGACAAGTTTGACGAGCAGAAGCTCTTCCGCGAGATCACCTCGGCCGTTGCGCAAATGGAGAACTGGATGGTCTGGGTCAATGACCTGCTCTCCTTTTACAAAGAGTTTGACGAGCCCCGCGACCAGACTAGTCTTGTAAACAACTACGCCGCCAGTTTTGGCATCAGCCTTGAGGAGGCTCTGGAGAAGCTGATTCAAGAGACGCTGCTGTCATCCAAGCAGATGATGGCCGTCTTTGTCGACAAGGATCCGCAGCTGAAGGAAACAATCACCCTCTTTATGCACGGCTACGTCACCTGGCACCTGTGTGATGCACGCTACAGGATGAGCGAAGTCTACCACAAAGCCAAGACGATGGAGGGTGAAGATGCCCGTACCTTTACCAGGTTTCGCGAGCAAGCTGCCGAGGTTGGCGCGGTCGACAGCGCCGAGTGGGTAAAGTTTACCGTACTGGACATGGTTGAAGCCAAGAAAGCAGCCAAGAAACGCGGTAATAAGATCATGTCTACGGGCAAGACTTTTTCTCAGGGAATCTTTTCATTTATTCCCTGGATGAATGGGCTGCTTTTGTGCGGTGTTTTGCTTGCCCTGACAAGCATTAATCTGCCCACGGAACTTTTCGGCCTCGTCTAGTGCCTACATGTCTTCTTGTTCCATTTTGTTTCTGTTTTTGTTTTTCTGTATTTGCGATGTTTCAGTCCAAGTTTTCGATTCTTGACTTGTGAGTGAATGAATGACCATGTCTGCTTGTTATCACATTTGCACCCCTATCGTCGGACGATCTGAACTAAAACTAGAATTGAATAATGCAGTCAAAAATGAGCTATCCTATTATGTGATGATCAAGTAGTTATGTTTAGCGTCACCTGGTCGGCGCTGTAATTTTTACTTGGCAAAATAACCATGAACTAGCGGAGAAGGGTTGATTTTCGTTGAGCATAGCATACCTGCTGTGATATAAGGGGGTATAGGCGCTATAAAAGTGTGGCGCGTCGCATTTTCTAGTGTGTATTGATAGTACCCGCATAGCTACAAAATGCGCTGAGCTAGACATCCTTATTAGTATCTGTGCAATTGTCTACATCCCACGTTTTTGCGCCGAACAAGTAATGCCGAAGTTGACTTGTCGGTCTCGATCTTGGTACCGAAAGCACCCCTGAGTGTCATTACGAGGGGCTGCATCTAAAATGGATTGAAGAAGGGTTTCGGCAAATGATTAATAAACATTTTGAAGTGAGACATTCACTACTTGTCGCATGATTAATTGACGGGTCGCGACAGCTGAGCAAAGCTAAATACTGCCCTACATTATTCTCAATATATCCAGCATCCCATTGCGAGCGCAGATCAGTAACAACACATTTCAGTCATTGCTACGCCTCGAGAGAATAACGGCAGGGTAAATATTGAGCTTCAACCCGCTGACGGTATCGGTAAGATGGCACTTCTTCGGGTTCGGCGCGCACTCGCCGTGACAGCCATTATCGTGGCCCAAGCTCAAGAAGTGATTGCCAGCAGCGATCAAAAGCCTTTCGAAAAAGTGAATGACATTCCACGACTACCATTGAATGAAGACTTTACCAGATATGTGCAAGAGTCTTTGGATGTATGGCATGTCCCAGGCATGTCGGTAGGCGTGGTTGACGGAGACAACGCCTACGCCGAGGTGAGATGAAAGCTGTCGAGTCTACCTATATGTGATTAAGAGCAATCTGACTGTGGTAAATTCACATTTTCAGGGTTATGGATACGCAGTGATACCCGAGGTTCCTGCTACTGCCGACACCCTTTGGTACGGCGCGTCGACAACAAAGTCGCAGGTCGCAGCACTGCTGTCGCACCTCATCCACTCGGGCAACCATAGCGCAAGCTTCCCCCATGGCTGGGAGACGCCAGTGTCGTCCATAATCCGCGACGACTTTGTCATGCAGGACGAGTGGGCGACGGCGCACGTCACGCTCAACGACATCGTCAGCCATCGCAGCGGCCTGGGTCGCCACGACTTTGGTCTGCTGCGCGTCCGTGACGGCAAGCGGCTGCTACTGCGAGATGTGACGCGCAACCTACGAAACCTTGCCATGACCGCTGAGCCACGTGTCCAGTGGTCCTACTCCAACTACATGTATATTGCGCTCGGCCATGTCCTCGAAACAGTCACGGGCCAATGGCTAGGCCACGCGCTACGCGACATCCTCTGGGCACCGCTAGGGATGGATTCCACGTACTTTAATCTGGTTGACGCACTTCAGGCGCCGCAGCGCCTGGCGGCCGGCTATGTATGGGATGAGGCGACAGGCAACTACACGTCTGTAGACTACATGAACGTTACAGCTTTCAGTGCCGCTGGCGCAGTCATCTCAAACGCCAAGGACTACGTGAAATGGCTTAGATGTCTGCTTTATAATACTGTACCGTTGTCGGAGGAGACACATCGCGATATGCAGAAGCCAAGAATTGTGCTCGACGAAAATGGAGGTATGACAGGAGACAAAATGGCAACGACGCTCTATGGACTTGGATGCTTGCGCACTACGATCCACGGCAAAACGGTCTTCTTTCATCCAGGAGGTATGCACGCCTACGGAACACACCTTGCATGGCTGCCCGAGATCAGATTCGGCGTGGCGACATTTGGGAACACAGCCATGACATCGAACTGGCAGCAGCTTGATGTCATCTACCGCTTGATCGAGGACAAGCTTGGAATTGCAACTGATGAAAGGATCAATATTCGAGAAATGTAGGTCAATCACTCCACCTAACTTGTTTAAATTACAGGCATGTAGCAGTCATGCGACTGTGCTGACGCTAGAGATGCAGATCAATGAAAAGCAGAGATGAAGTCATGACAAGAGACAAAGCCATCAATACCTTGTTCCCAGATCACCCTGATCCCCCATTGCCGTCAACATTCAACACAGATCAGCTCGTTGGCAGCTATTACAACGAGGGCTGGGGCGGCGTCACATTTACCACGGCCAATGACGGCCATGATAGTGGCAAGACAATTCTTATCGGACCTCGACCACATGCAACTTTGAGACATACATTTGTGCTGGAGCACATATCAGGCAATTATTGGCTTATGAAAGCAGTCACTGAAGGTGGTAGTCCGTACACGAGTCGCTTCTTCGCTGCTCGTTTTGTCGCGGGAGTCAATGGCAAACCGATGGTCATGGAACTCAATACTGCGCAAGGGTCTAACAATCCTGGTGACGGTATTGTCGTGTTTACAAGGACTGGGTAGGATCAGCAAGCATTGAATTGGTCATTGGATATGAATGAGCTAATTGCTAATTAATATCACAAGCCTGGACCCTTTCGTAACAAGGTGCTTCGGCCCGCATAGTTCTCGCCATCAATATCTAATTGTATCCCCTTTCGGCTTGGCGACGAATCTTCCTGGATAAAATTTCTTTCTGGCTGTATGTAATCTTGAACTGCGGCGATTCACTTACATCCCAGTCCTCCTCATTGCTAGAGTTGCCGAAGATTCTCAGAGCTCGTACGACGAGTTTGTAGTACCCCTCGGGAACATAGCTACCTGTGTCGAGCTGACCATTCCAGTCAAACCGGACGAATTGAAGCAAGTCTGGCGATGTGTTCTGTAAGCTGCTTGGGCGCCACGGGACGGGAAACCCTTGAATCTGGCCAATCGGTGTAGTAGAATTGGTTGCATATGATGTGCCATTGTTCGCGGGCACAACGTCGGCGTGCACCAGAGGGGTTCCCAGGGTTGTGTTGATGTTCAACGCAAGGGGAGATTCTGTGAGACTGCCCGGTGCTGGTAACACAACAGTGGTGCCCTCACTTAGAGAGCTATTTCCGTAGATAAGCGAGGCGCCGTCGGGTGGCAGGACCTGGTGTTCGCGGATGGAACCGGAAAATCCCTGGTAAGGAACAGAGAGTGCGCTGCTATCGGATCCGTTTATAGCAATCCAGCCAGACCACAGGGGCATTCGACTGGCGTCAAGGCTATTGGGAGCTGACGCTGACAATTGGATGTTGACGGAATTGCCGGGGGCCACGGTGACGGTCGTGTCACTCAGGGCAATGGACGCTGGGGCCTCAATCTCGTCAAGCATATCGGGATACGAAGAAGTGGTGCCATCTTCTGTAAAGGTATAGACGGTGACAGCGGGCACGTGAGACAGACTGTACGTCACAGCGTCATTGCCAATGTTCTTGATGGTCAAGTTGAGCGAGGCTGGCATATGTTCCGTGTCATTGAAGTTGAGGCCCGCCGGTTGAACAAGAGTTGTCGCGTAGGCAGCGTCGTAGGCACGCGCCAGACCACCGCCCTGCTGTGCAACAGGGGCAAGATAGGGCATGAATTCGTCTCCGTTGTGGTAAAGCTGCGGGTTTGAGTGTGAAACGAGAAGGCTTTCCACAGTGGCGGGATCCAGAGAGCCGCGAGCCTCGCCAATCAGTGCAACGATAGCAGCAATCAGGGGACCTGAAAACGAGGTTCCTCGTGTGACTGTGTAGCCGGAAGGATTGGAGTCCCTAGAGTCCGTCGAGATAATTTCTTCGCCAACCGCGGTCACGGAAGGCTTGAGACCGAGGTTCCAGGAAGGGCCCCAGGAGCTAAAGCCGGAAACAGCGCCTGCAATCTCGTCATTTGGCGTCTCAACATAGGATTGGGGTGCTTCAGCAGATGAGAACACTGTCGCAAGGACCTGGCGGCCAGACTGGAGCGCGCTGAGCATCGCCGTCGCGGTATCAAGCTCGAGCATTCCAACGGCAACAACCCCCTCAGGCAAGTTGTCCACATAATAAAAATCAGGCATCCACTCTTCATCATCCTTGTAAAAGAGAAAGCGCGAAGCCCCCTTTTCATGGAATGACTTGGCTCTAGTCCTCAAGCTGCAGTCCCCTTTGCCGGAGCGGAAATCGAGTAGGACAAGCTTGTCGCTTAAATCCGGTGTGTCAGAACTGAGCGGTCCACAAGTATGAGTACCGTTGCCAGTAACAGTCGAATTTACAGGCAGGGCGTAAACCTCCATTGGGGTGCCGGTGAAGTTGTCTGAGGGTGTTGTTGGGTAGAAGTGGAAGGGGACAGCGGATGTGTCGTCGATGGTGTACTTGGCCTCATTCAGGAGTTGGGGATACACACGGCTGTTCACCGACCCTACACTAATAACACCATTGGCGACGGCCGGGTCGATGTGTGAAAACAGACCGCGTTCGGCGTCGTTGCCAGCGCCCTGGACGAAAACGACACCGCTCTCCTTGGCCCGCGTCGCAGCTGACGACAAGAGACTGTCCGGCCACCCACCGGGAAGTCCGGCCGACGACGAGATGATATCCACGTTTTCGTTGAGGGCGCGGTAGATTGCGTCAACCATGACATCGGTAGCAAACTCACCGCTGCAGGTAATGCGGTACATGCCTATCTGAGCGCCAGGCGCCGCGCCGGTGAAGCCCATCTCGTTCGGTTGTGCAGCGATGATGCCGACCGCGTTGGTTCCGTGACCATTACAATCCTTGGGAGTGGGCTCGTTATTGACCAAGTCTGCTCCGAAGGAAATGAGGCACCCGGGACCAAAGCATCCACCGAGTGCCGGGTGCTCATAGTCAACCTAGATATGTTAGACACGGGGGTTGGGAGAATGCACAGGGAGGAGCCTCTTACACCAGTATCAATCATGCCAATCTTGATGCCCTTGCCCGTGATTCCTTTGCGGTGCAGTTTGTCAACTTGCATCATGGCGTGGGGAGGATAGGCCGTGGTATTAGTTTCACGCAGCGCATGTCGCATTGCCTGACGTTTGCTAATCTTGCCGATGGACGAATGATGCTTTTCATGCTTGGGTGCTCCGTCATTTGACGGAGTAACGCCGCCCAGCGAATGCATCTCAACCGGATAAACCTTGACAACATGATCCATGGAAGCCACATCATTAATCTTGCTTGCATTCTCGAGCGTGATCGAAACAGCCTTGTACGCCTCACCTGCCTTTCCTTCGTCAGGCGCGTAGTCAATCTGCCGGCGAATGCGAGCATTGGCTTCTGTCGTGACTCTCTGTGCAAAGCCAGCCACATCCTACGCTTTCGTGTTAGTCATTGTGGGGGGGAATGTTTTGTTGGATATTTGGACGTACAGCGCCTTTGTCAAGTTCAACAAAGTAGGTGCCATGTATGACTCGTGATGCAGCTTCGTTGGCGGCAGAGCCAGTTACTGCTAGTGCCGCAATGGCAAGCAAAAGTTTGACCATGGTGTGTAATGTTTCGGCCCTTGCTCTTAACTATTCTTGAAGACAACTCTAGGAGTCTACGGGTCATATATATACGCAGACGCAGACGCTTCGGAATTTTCAAGGCCATCAGATGAGAGATCCTTCAAAATTACCACTCGGCATATAGAAGTAAGTGCCCCCGCCCCTGCCCGTACATGTAGGCATATTCCAGTGGCAACCATAAGGGGCCCTATACGACAGTTCGGTACTTAACGTCAAGGGCGGAGAGTGACGAAACATTGGGCACTGCGAATGGATGGATCGGTAGCATGAGCACCCCTGATCTGATAAGGAACATATCAGGAGGGACATACATATTCACAGCGGCCTAGAGAGAAAATATCCTGATTTTCTCTTGGCAGTATTACCCCCCTCCTTTTGCTACTGATAATTAAGGTTACCTTATGTATGTGATTCGATTCGAGCTATTTAAATCTGGTTGTGGTATTGTTGTGGTCTGACTTGTAGCGTCAAGACCTCGCCTCACTATCGTCATTAGCTCACAGATGACAAGCGATCGCAATAGTGAAAGAGCCATCCATTTAGAGTTTTAGTGTGGGCCACTAGCTATAGAATCATGACAATATATTTTATCAACTAGCAATAAGAGTAAGTATAGGGTTTGTTAAGTTATCTAGTCGTATATTTATTCCATCTGAAGGAAGGCCGTTCGTTGCTTTCGGGATGACTTGGAAAGTGATCTGTCGAGAACCTGGAAGTTCTCGCAATCCTAATCGAGAAGTCACGGCCGGCACTAGATTCGATGAAATTGCCAGGGGCGTCTCTAAGTCTGAACTAGGGCATGATTTTCATCAAAACCTTAACCTGGGGCAGGCGAACGTTAGATCTGCGGGAAGCGGCAGTATCGGGCATAATGTGTTCATAAGGGCGTCTCGCCGCTAGTGTAATATAGGTCCTCTGAGGTTATAGTATGTCTGGAGCGGGACCCCGAATCGCGCAATCGATTTGTAAAAAAAAAAAAAAAAAAAAAAAAAAAAACCACCTTAGCGCTTGTCTGATAGTAGAGCCTTTTATTACGGAGTACTGAGTGATATGGGTAAGTAGTAGGTACCAACAAGGAAGATCCAAAAATTACAGGGCTGCGAGAACCGATCAACCGATGTCTGATAGGTCAGAACAGGGGTCAAGTTTTGCAGGCGGAAAAGATATCGGACAGGTACATTACTTCCACACGACACTACGTAGAGATCGTGATCCAAGGTTACCGGGTCGCTGAAGTTGCCAGCGCGACATGCGCGCGATACTGACGCGTATCTAAGTGAGGGAAACAAAAAAAAAGGCAAAACTCAATCACGTTCAGAGGCCAATTCGCTTAGGTTTGATGAAGATTTTCGGATTGTTCGGAATTTGGGATTAAAGGGGTGGAACAAACTTTGACGGGCCTTGACGCAGGGAGACTATATAGTGGGGCTATTAAGTACGTTCTTCGTAGGGCAGGGGTAGGGTACAGCGGGCCGCCTACGGTGACCAACCGGATCGCGGCTTATGATAATTCACCTACTAAGTATATCTGGTTGACGTTTTAGTTTTAGAACCGACTATATATAACGATATATCATTGCCAAGGAAGACGCGTTACTGACGAAGTACTGTCTGCTTGAGGTAGCGGTGTGTATAGAGCTTGTGATGTCGGAGGTCCTGCTCCGGTGTCGAAGGGATAGACTAGATCTAAGTAGGGATAATGGGCAGCTGTATGAAATTGTGTCTCCCATTGCCAAAGTGAATGTGATTGAGCCCTGACAAGCGCTTCTTATCGCGATCAACGGGATCTTGATGTAAGAACAGGCCGCTGCCATCTGTATCTCCTGAAGACACTTCGAAAAGTAGCCTATGCCCAGGCGAAATGACTACCGATGTGGGCCAGACTTCAATGTCCACCTCATAAATCTCATCCACCGTCATAGGTTCCTCGTCTGTGGAGAAGTATTCGCGATACGGAAGGTAGTAGCGATGTCGCGCGTGTTCTGGATTTGTCTTGCGAAGACTACAACGCAGCCACCCCTTGACTACTGGCACAGGGTCCCCCACTGTTCCAGTATACAAGATTTCGTTTCCTTGGGCATCGAGATGGCGCAGTGTAACAAACAGGTCCATGTCCCACGGAGTGCTTTGCGTCGGAGCGACGGCACTTATGGACACGTTCAAGTGCGCAATTATATGGCCCGTGATTTCCGTCTCAGCTACAAATGGCGCCGACGTAAATTGCAACTTGTTCTGCTCCTTGACTTGCCCCAGGGCCGAATACGTCAAGCGCGCTGAGTCACTGGTGGTCATGGCCAATTGAAGTCCATTTTCCCTGGTGAGATAATAGCGCCTGTAATCGGTGCGTGCTATAGGCCAGTCCATTTCTTCGCGTCGTAGAAATGCCTTCTCAGACTCTTGGTCATTGTAGCCGACATTGCCTTTGCGTAAAATGAGACTCACGGGCTTGACCTTGCCCTGCCGTGTCCAGCCAGCGCGGTCTTCATTTTTCAGCCACGCATCTAGAAAGCTGAGCTGAAGCTCAGCCTCCTTCTCGTAATAGAATGGAAGATCATGACGGCCCACAATGAAGCGGAGGTACTTGAACTTGGAGCCGGCGTACATGTACCCGTGAACGTTCCCCCGTAGATGCAGAGAAATGCCGCCCAGGTTGGCCACTGACAAGAGTGGTACACGCACGTCTTCCAAAGAAAAGTCTCGCGTCGCGTAGTATGGTTCATCGCGAAATCTGTGCGAAACATTGTCGATGGTTTGGTCGCATCTAGCTTTTTCGCGCTCTTCCTCAGACAAATCTCCCTCAATGGTGTCGTCGCCCCAATCTTTCTTCAACCTGCCGGGTAGACCGTACTGGTTTGTGATGACTTGCCGGTTCCACCAAAAGCGAATAAAATTGTCTGACAGAATACCGCCATGCCGGCATCGGTCACGATAATAATCAGACATGCCTTCCCACGGGATGATGCAGGCCAGGCCGCGCGGAGATCGCGCAGCAGCACGCCACTGCGTTCCAGCAAAGTAGCTCACACCGAGCAAGCCTACTTTGCCGGTTGACCACGGCTGTTCCGAGGCCCATTCAATTGCTTGACAAAACGAATCTGCTGTATCGGCCGACATGGAATCGAGATATCCAGGAGACTGACCAAAGCCACGCTCGTCGCAGCGCACAACGACGTAGCCCTTATGACACCAAAAAACAGGGTCGGGAGTCTCCCAGACTGAGTGACGAGACTTTTGGGCTGGATTGAGCTCTGCAAAAGACGCCGGGTGGAATTTGCTGTAGGGTATATCCTTGCCGTACGGTCCATAGGTCATGATTACAGGAAATTGCGAGCCCGATGTCTGGGTCTGCAATGGCCGGTAAACGTTGCAGCGGATTGGACAGAGCGAGTCCGTCGTTGGGATGGAGACATTCTTCTCGACGAAAATGGCATTTTCTTTGTCGACCCAGCTTGTACAGATGTCTCTGATTTCATTAGGCATTGTTGTCTGGGACAAAGTTGACACTTGGAAAGTCGGTTCAGAAGTTTCGATATAGACTTGTGCTATGATATCAGCGTATAATGGCTATTTTTCTAAAGTTGAAACTCGGGTACATTATATCTTTGGGGAAGCTGACTGGTAAAGTCCTCCACAGGTTAGGGTTTGGGACTGCGACTCAGCGTGGAGGAGATCTGCTTTCCCCCATGTGATCGGCGGCCCGGCCGGCTACCCCATCTATCCGCGGCTCCATCGGAAGCTCTGCACCGATAGGGAGAAGACCTCCGGGGAAGCCGGAGAGCATCCGTTCAATTTCCGTCGTGCACAGTCGAGGCGTGGGCATGCAATCTCTCCCACCCAAGTGAAAGCCTCCAGTGACTTGACTGTCCGTAATAAATTCGTTATCATGGCCCAATCCGAAGGAGTAGGGTCCGAGGGCACATGCTCCAGACGTTGCCGCAGCGTTGCGCGATTCGTACCTTATGATAGGCAGCCAACTTCCTTGGATGTTCCCGAGGCATACAGTGTACCGAAGCGGGAATTTCTGAACCAATTCAAGGAGTCGCTGGCTAGAAGTGAGGATGCGCGCGACTGCGAGACGCTGCTGACTGAGTCGAGTTGGCAGTCATGGCGTGAGGGCCATCAAGAAATGGTAAGTATGCGCTTGCTCTCAGAAAAGTGTATCGGAAAAAAAGAAGAATCTCACTAATCAAGGTCAGGTAACCCCGCATGGCTCATTTTTATCTCCTACCTGGCCAATGTCCATTGTGGTGGATGCTCCCGACTGTGACTTGGACTTTTCGAACCACATGCCGCGATGGCGACCGGTCTTCTCTGCCATCTTTCGCTTGCACCTATACATCCCTAGTTTCCAGCTGAATGAGAATTTCAGCAAGGACGCGCTCCTGCCACCATATTTGGACTTTGCTCTGGCATGCTTGGCCAGCGCAGCGTCGTCCAAAACGCCTCACGAATCCGACGGCATTCCGATACTTAGCACGACATACTTTGACATAGGAATCAGACTATATATCTTGACACTCGAAGCCGACAACCGTGAGGCCCGTACTATGGAGTCGGTAATTGCGGTATGCTATCTCTGAACACTCGATGTGGCTTGAAGCACTGGCTGATGCTTGTTTGTGCCAGAGTGCCTTGATTGCCACGTATGGTTTGCTGAGTGCAGATTTGAGCGCATGGTCGAAAAGCTCGGCAATGCTCATGTATAGCATGACTGTGAGTACTTTCAGCGTGAAAGTATGTGTCATTCTGTAGTCAGAATGTTTCAGGTACTAAAGGTGATTACAATTAACAACGACGCATCGGCAATACAGATCGCGCGAAGGCTGGATATTTTCAATTGTAGGTCTACTGGTGCCATATTGGAGCCAGCTGCAAGGTAAGGCACTTTTCCCGCCATATTGATCGTTATCGGATACCTTTCTTTCCTCAGTCAAAACTCACAAGATATAGGCGTCACAGCATGATTGCGAGCTACAAATATCTTGTTGATGTGCTACTTGCCGTCCACATGGGAACTGTTCCCGTACTGTCAACGTCGGAGCTGAACATTCGGCTGCCCGTCTCCGGGCACTCATTACCATCCGTCTATGGAAACCTCATACACTGCACTGGACCGATGCCAAGCGACGTTGCGACACCCGATGACGCCGTTTTGCTTCTGACTGCACTTCTCTCCGATTTGCTTTTTATACAGCGAAGCGCATGTCCAATTGGATCGCTTCCCTCTAGTTCCAGCACCCAAAGAGACCAAACAGGTTCTACGAAGATGGGTGAATGCCCATATCAGACACTCTCCCTGTCTGCGGAAGTTGACCGGCAGCACAATGCCATCAGGCGCGCCCTTGACCGTTGGCTACGACAATTCGAATCCTTGATGCCCCGAAATGTGCTTGCACTTTATTATTTTTGTCAACTTTGCCTCGCATGTCCCGAACTTTCACAACTTTCAATGCACGCTGGATACCCGCCAGCGCTGCAGAGTCACGCGCCCTCAGACCCGGATCCAGGACAGAATCGAATTCATGACGAGGCTTCAGTGTCGGAAGAAGCGATGGAGCTTGCGTGGTTGGTTCTGGATAATATCACTACGTCGAGGTCCGAAGATGATGTTGAATGCGCTTCGATCTGGAGTCCGATTGCTTTATTCTGTTCCGCGCTTGTAGTGTGGCGCTGTGTCACAAGACGACCGTCTAGAGTTTCGGCACAGCGAGGTACGGTAAAAATGGTGGCTTTGTTTTCGAAAGAATTGGATCAGCTACCTTGGCCATGTTGCCCCGTTATGTCGCAAACGCTGGAAGGTCTCATAGCTCGAGGTTAAGTAACCCTGACTTGACGTAAAGGCACGGCTACTTGATAGACCAGAAAACCGCATCTCCAAGGGCATATTATTTATATTGGAGTTCGTCAGATCCTACGCCATTATTGGTTCTCTCGGCGACATATCTATTTTCCTGACTCCAAACTCAAGCCCCCGTAGTCCTCTTCTAATGCCTGACCGTCAATTTCCAGCGCGTTTCCTTCCTGTAGAATAAAGACCATCCTTGACCACGTTTCCCCATGGGGTACACGCCACGCGTGCATGGTTCCGCGCTGCACGGCAATATCACCGGGATTGAGTAGCTTGGTCTCTCCCGAGTCCAGCACTAATTCAACATTTCCAGCAATAACAATTCCGTAGTCGAGGCTCAGCGTTCGGTGCATGGGCGTGACGGAGCCCGGCGCGAAGTTGCAGACGCGCAGCACCGTTCCGCCCGGTATGGAGATTGGGGGCTGTGGGCCTGTGAAAAGCTCCTTGTACCTGGCAATGTCCAAGTCCGCATTCATCTCGGCTGGGAAAGTCGTATTGGCGTAGGCGAGAAAAAAGTCCATTGTCGGTGTCAGGCGTTGGTACACAGCCGTTGGATCAATCTCATTCGCAAAGACACTACGGCCACTGGCATCGTGTGTAGTGACGTGTCGCTTTGGTGTTGGCAATCCCGTAGGACTGAGGACGTTTGGCAGAGTCTCCATCGTTGAATGGCGAGCTGTAGGCTATAGTGGAAGCTCCAAGGGTCTGTTGATACGAGTGCCTTTGGTTGGATAACTTTTTCGGCTGATCACTGCCTTTTATCGACGCATTGATGGCCTATAAGCAGACAATTACGTAGTGCGTCAACACTTCCGAGGAAAAACAGAAGTGGTTGAGTCGGCTACTCGACTTGATCCATGGTGACTGTCGATACCCCATCGGGCCGCGGCTCCGTCACTTTGATCCCATGCAACTGGCCGCTGTACCAGTACGGATGTATGTCCACGGGACGTTGTTAGAGTCGCTTCAGCTTTCCTCATGGCCATGATGCCAAATGCATAAGAAGCGGCCAAGCTCTGTTGAAGTTGCTACGCTCAGATGTTGACTAACAGCCTCAAAACCTACTCGGTAAGAAGACACCACATATTAAACAAGCATCAAAAATTTCACAACATGACAGTCAACACCCGTGCTGCTCTCAACCGGCTTTCGTATGTACTATACGAGCATGCCGACATGGAGAAATTCAAGAAATTTGCAGGAGATTTCGGCCTCATCGAAGCTGGGAAAGCAGATGGTCTCACATTCTACCGCGGATACGGCAAGGATGCGTACGTATATGTTGCCGCGGAAGGGCGGCGAGGGGGCGAGAGAAGGTTCATAGGTGGTGGCTTTGTGGCGGAATCGGCGCACGACTTCCACTTGGTCTGCCAGATTCCAGGCGCCAAGATACTAGACGCGACAAAGCGACCTGGGGGCGGGCAGCTAGTCGAGGTGCTCGATCCCAACGGGTATGTCGTCCAAGTTGCTTGGGAACAGGTTGAGCGCGAGGCGCCTGCCCATGGAATCTCATCGTGTGAAGGCGGCCAGCCCCCAATAAACGGCGCGCTCGACAAGATTCGAAAGGGTAAGTTGGGCTTGGTTTTGCAACGCTTCACAGAGGGTGCTGATGGCAGAACAAGGTCAGTTCACGCGCATGAGTAGCGGCCCGGGTCTGGTCCACAAATTGGGTCATTTTGGCTACACGACAGACAACTATGACGAGACGTGCCGATGGTATCAACAACACTTCAACTTTGTGCCAACGGATGTGCTCCATGCTCCAGACGACAAAGCTCGCGAGGTGGCCAATCTTATGCGCGTGGAACGCGGCAAAACATTTGTTGATCACCACTCGTTCCTCCTTGCCAGGGGTGATGATGGCAAAGGAACAAAGGTCCACCACTCGTCTTTTGAAGTCGAGGACATGGACACGCAAATGATGGCGCATCAATGGCTGGGACAGGCCGGTTGGACCTTGGTTTGGGGTGTTGGCCGACATGTCCACGGCTCTCAGATTTTTGACTACTGGTACGATAGCAGCGGCTATATTGTTGAGCATTATGCCGACGGAGACGTCGTCAATGAAGACACGGAAACAACCTATTCCCCTGCAGGTGTCATGGCTGTATGGGGGCCCCCTGTACCAGCCGTTTGGGGTGGAAAGGCCTCTGCGGTCAGCGGTTAGCGTGCGTGGTCAGTGGTCACCTCCTAATACACCCACTGTAAATATTGGCTGCAGGCGTACCTACCTACCTACCTATTTCTGAACTGAGCTGAGCCAGCGCAAACTCCAGCTTCTGGCTACAAGGCACCTACCTAGATACTTATTATTAGGGGTTCTAGGTACTGCAGAGTACACATTCCCTCATGATGAAAGCAAGTCAATATTCCAACGTCCATTTTCTTCCTGCTCTTAATGTGTTACTTAATACCATGTCTGCATTATTTTTGCCTGGCATTCCTGCAACCCACTGAGTTCCTCCACGGTAAAGGAGAATCTACGATCAGTGACCGGAAACACCGGAGCAACTGTGAAGCTAGAGTGTGTCAACAAGGCCATCCGGAGCATTGATCTGTTCCCCCCCATGTGCCACTTACCCCGCGACATCTCCAGCGGTCAACCTGCCAAGATCAATTCATCACCAGCACATACATAGCAATGCTTCCTGCTTCTTATTCAAATCACCGCAAAGACAAACAAGTGAGCGCAGCTGTTTCCTATGTCTCCGCCAAGGGTACTGTTACCCAGCTAAACAATTCATAGTGCCACATATGTCATCGTCTCTTCGTCCGAACGGAGCATTTGAGTCGGCATCTGAGAACACGTGCGTGCGAGCTAAAACTCCCCTCCGCTCGCTGTCTTTACATGCTCAATCGTAAACTTGCGACTGACCAAACACTCTATAGACACCGACGAGAAGCCCTTTCCATGTTCGAGCTGTAATCAGTCCTTCCGGCGACTGGAGGTGAGGAACTTGCATATCCGGCGCTGTCATGAGAATCAATCCAATGTGTTGGAGTCGTCGGCAACGCAGCGTGGTAGGAAGCGTACTCGAGTTGCCTGCACAGCCTGTCGTAGGCGAAAGACGCGCTGCAGCGGCGGACAGCCGTGCTCTCAATGTGCGGAGATGAACGACGCTTGCACTTATCGAGCTGGCATCTCGTCAACTCATTCTCGTAATGACGCGATACAGCACGATTACAACACAACCCAGTCTCCTTCTGTGCCTTTACAGTGGCTGGACAACACCTGGACTGATTCTGCCATACAGCTCCCTCCCAGTCCTCCCACCACGGCCTTTCGAGGTCAGAGCCACTTGCCGCAGAACTACAACCAAGATGGCTCAGACCGTACGGGATCGGCGGCCGATATGGGGGACTCGAATGAGCAATTGGAGGAGGTGAACAGAGTATCTCTTTCTTCAGACTTTCCGGCCTCTACCGCCAACTTTCTTGATGATGCATGGATACTGCCTGATTTTTCTGTGAGAACCTCTACCTCCCCGCATGTCGTTTGAAAGGGATGATTAGATGCACAGACTGACCTCCGGACATAGGAACCTCCAATGTGGCTTGAATGTCCGGACAATATGGACCAAAGTTGGGACATCTCCCAGTACACAACAACACCCGCGGATAGCACCTCTTCAAAGCTGTCGCCTGATTTTCTCGCCGCAAGCCCCATCACATCGATGGTCAGAACATACTTTCTTCGCAAGGCGCAGGTTTCTTCGCTTGCGCTCGACCGGCCCGACTGCATGTGGTATTCGAAACTGCCCACGTCGACAGTCCCAGACCCATATGTCGTGAATGTCTTCCTGAACATTTTCCGTCGGCATATCCCGCCCACATTCTCTCTGTTCCGTGATATGAATCTGTCGGACTCGTCAACCTCTTCGTATTACATGGCAATGGCTGCTGTTGGTGGCTTGTTCTGCTCGGTCAGAGGGAGCTATGATGTGGCAAGGGCATTATACAACGATTCACGCAGGATGCTGCTTACCAAGGTCTGCGAATTGCCAGTCATTCACTGTGTTAAACATGTCATCTAATAATTCTGGCTCAGGTGAATTGCACAAAAGAAGAACAAAATCCCGATTTAATGGCGGATCATGCTGAGACGCTACAAGAGGCCAAAACAGTACGCAATCAACACATTCAGACGCTTGCTTTGTCTGACATAATGATGCAGTTTATTCTCTTGGAGATCTATGGACTATGTAGTGGCGACAGACGCAGCTACGAGTTCTCGGAATGCATGCGCAGCGATTTGATGCGGGCACGTTACGGCAACTCCCGATCATAAAAATTCATTACGGCGATACACTGCTAATATTTGACTTTTAGGCGGTGAGGCGATACACACGGCAGAGCCAGTGCACTAATAGTGGCGGGCAGCTCCAAAATATGCGGTATGTTGCGACATATGAACTCAACAGACTCAAACAATAAATAGTGATTGATGGCAGACTTTTGGAGTGCTTGTACGTGCTCAACTTGTACCGCGTCATTCTAATGCGGAGACCTGCTACTCTTACCAAGCATGATATGGCCATGCTGTGTACTGGTAAGAGAGGGGAAGGGAACGAGACAACTGAGATGTCGTCCTTTCTCAATGTTGTGGAAAGCCTCGCCACACCAGGGCTACTTGTGGACCGGACAGCTCTTCAACTTCACAGTATCCCAAGTCTTGGTGGCTTGAGTACCTACCTCTGGCCAGCCACGCGCAGTTGGTTCGACGAGAGAGCAAATCATGACGAAGAGCGGTCGCGCAATCCTCTGTGGAAGAAAGATTTCATTGCTTTGGCCTGCGACAAATGGTGGAACTCTCAGCAACCAAACTCCGACCCATCTCTGACTATTTTGTATCATTGCGTCAAGCTCCTCATTCACGCGGATATTGAGTTGTTGGTAGGCTACTTCAGGCACTCGCTCGGAAAAGGACAGCGGTCCCGCAACCTGCTGCAGGAATACGCGCCAGTTTGCACATGGCTTCAAGGCCACAATGCGGCCATTGCTACTTGGCATGCCAACTCGATATTTTCCGTGGCTGAAGGTTTCCGCTGCCATGAGAGCAGCAGCAACGAGGCCATACCACCTAGGATAGGTGACGGGCATACCGAGCCGAGGGTAGATCATGAGTCTCCTCATATACCGTATGCTATCTACTATGCGACATTGGTTTTTTGGGCTCGTCAAGTGACTCGATGCGACGACGAAGCTGGACTCTCTGGCATGGCGCAACTAGTCCAGGGCCAGCGGCTCCTTCGGAGGTGTGCGTCCCGTATCGCGGGTTTGATGGAACAAGTGTTGGGATTATGGGACTGAAAACATACCATATACGAAGTCAACGTTTCCAGTATTTGTCCATATTGTACGGGCTGGCGCATATGCGGCACTCCGTGACATGATCATGATCACTTCAGCAGTAGTGAACCAGGACCTGACTTTGCAACGCCCCGTATTTGTGCATTGGGGCCGTCGATTTGCGAAGTCGCCGCTCCCGCTGGTGGCGAAAGATTCTAAGCTATGTCTTATTGCGTGTACCGAAACCTTTCTTGGATCGAGTACGCAGATCGTTGCGTCGGACCAGGATGGGGTAATTGCACGACCCCGCCAGTTCCGTATGCGATTTACCCCATGCGGCCCGGGCCTTGGTAATGTTTGGGCTCGACCCCTGGGGTGAAACATTGGATCATGCGATTCAGAGCTTCCGTGTGGATGTTTGCTGGCATTTCGTATGCATTTAAGGTATGACTGTCGGCTTGGTAAGAGAGGAGTAGCAGGCAACTGTTCTTCTTTCATACGCGACATCTCCGAATCCGATACAAATCATGTCCAATCAAGCTTCCGTCCGTGGCAACACCAGAGGCCAGCCTCTACAGTTTCTTGTCGTTGGTGCTGGCCTCGGAGGGCTGACCGCTGCCATTGCGTTGAGAAGGGCGGGGCATCGTGTTACGGTAACAAGCTAAAGTCATTCGCGGATGAAGTCAATGCATAAACGGTAGCTGACCACCTTTTTTGGACGAGCAGGTTTTCGAGCAGTCTCGGCTTGCAAGCGAATACGGAGCCGCTATCAATGTACCACCGAATGCCAATGGCATTTTACTCCATCTTGGAGTCGATGTTGCTGCTGCTGGAGCGGTCGAGCTAAAGACGGCAAGTATTGAAAACCTAAAACTCGATGAGAAACAAAAACAGCTAACCCGGTGAGTATTAGGTCACGGGTTATGACAAAGATGGCCAGTGTGTTGGAAAAGCTGACTACACGGCTCTCGCCAAGGGCTGGCAGCATGTAAAGTCTATCAAACGGTCTTCTAAGGGACCTTGTGCTGATTATCTGCGATTTGACAATAGAAATACTTGTTGGCACATCGTGTTGACTTACACGCTCAGCTGAAAACCGCAGCAGTCTCCCTTGATGGCGCTGGACACCCCGTGAAATTGAGAGTAGCTTCACGCGTCGCTGACTTAGACCTCCAACAAGCTACAATAACACTTGTCGACGGAACAGTTATTGCAGGCGATGCAATCATTGGAGCTGATGGAATTCATGTAAGAAATTTTGCATCAAATCCGGTGTCGCGCACAATTAACGTTCTGTCTCCAGTCCACGACACGAGCGAAACTGACATTTGTCCGACCTGAACCTTCTGGAAAAAGCGCCTTTCGTTTTCTTCTCAACCGCGCAGACATGATAAAGCACCAGGCAATTGATCAGGCTATAATTGCAGAAGGGGAGCTGGTTTTTTGGTTGGATGCCGACCGGTAAGGAACCTTCTCTTTATAGAGCATAAAGCTCGTCCCTAGCTAATATACTTGCAAAGACGAATTGTTGTGTACCCGACAAGAAACAATGACATTTGGAATTTTGTATGCATTCATCCTGATCGCAGTTGGAAAGATGATGATAGGAGCTGGAACCGCTCTGGCTCCCAACAGGATCTCCTTCGAGAATATGAGGGATTCGACGAGCGCGCGTTGGCATTATTGCGCATGGCAGACCCGTCGACGCTCAAGGTGTGGCGACTCATGGATATGGACACTGTCGAGGATTGGTGCAGGGATAGGTTCTGTCTCCTTGGCGATGCCGCTCATCCTTTCCTCCCGCACCAAGGCCAGGGAGCGGCGCAAGCAATGGAAGACGCCGCATCACTGGGCGTCATCTTCCCGGCCGGTACTGGTGCATTTGTGGTGCCATCAAGACTCAAACTGTATCAGCAGTGTCGCAAGGTGAGAGCGGAGACGGTCCAAGGATTGACACGACAGGCCGGCGCAGACATTCGTGGCTTAGAGTCTGCTGGCAAGAAAGTAGACCGCATGACGGAGCTCATCCAGATCAACTGCGGCTACGATGAGCACCATAACTCCATCCATATGCTGCGTATCTGGGAGAACAGCAACAACCCCCCCAAGCTCTGGCGGATGCCTGTGTCGTTTGGGCCTGCGTCCGGTCCCCGCCAATCTCTCCTCGGCTCTGCTCGCCGTTGGTCCAACAAGGGATCAAGTTTCGTTTCGCGGACCATTAAATTCAAGACTTCCCGTACATTGCTCCAAAACCTACTCCCAAATTCGTCCTTTTCTTTTCAGTCACCTGACAGTGTTGCATTCGCATCCTATGTCCACACCTCGTTGCAGAATCTGGACTGGCTTGGTGGCAAGGGCTACGACTACGTTGCCTTTTTACTGCACGGTATCGTGTACCGGAAAAAAGATGGCTCTACCGTCACAGGATCTTTTGTGGCCGTCATGTGGGAGAATCTGACGGACCCCATCCTGACCGGACGAGAAGAACTCGGATGCCCCAAGCTATTTTGCGACATTGGAGTCCAGCAAAACGCCAGCAGCTACCTGATGGAGGCGAGCTGGGCAGGAGGAGCTCCATTTCTCAAGCTGCAGATGGAAGGCATGAGAGACAAGCAAGTCTCTGAAGCGGGTGATGACGGTGCACTTTTCTTCTACAAGTACATTCCCGCTACGGGAAGGCCCGGTGTTGCCGACGTTGCGTACCCCGTCTGTGTCCCGAACCCAATCTGTCGAACCATCAACCGTGTCCAGACCGCGCGGACGGCGAACGTTATATTTGATGCGCTCAATGAAGAAAGGCTCCCCACCCTGAATCATATTGTGGGTAGGTTGGCGGAAATTCCTCTGTTTGAACTGGCTGAGGCAACCGTCGCCGAGGGAGTAGACGTTCAGGACTTGTCGACAGCCTACAGAATCGAGTAGCCAAGCTACCATTTTCGCGAAGCTGTTCCCTAAAAGTGATTCTCATATCACCAGTAGCAAGCAAGCAACAGAATATTATAGCTATGAGTATCACAGTGCACAAAGTGGTGGATGTCTAGTTGGCGTTGGAATGAAAATTCTTCAATAAATTCCAAGCTTAGCTTTCTGTTATAACAGAGGCGACTAATTACAGAGTTGCAACCTGCTCCCCATAGTCTGAGCGCTTTAAAGTCTTACCGTAGTCTAAGCGCAAACTAGCACTACCTGACGCAGTCCAAGCACTACAGGGCGATAGATGCACATCGTACCATTCTGCGCAAGCACTAATTGCTATTTCAATAATAGCCAGCCACTTTCAGGTAATGACATGTAACTAGTCGATCCATAGAAATGATTGACACTTGGTGCCATCCAAGTTCGTCTCCGAGAAGATGCCTGGACCCTTCGAACACTCGTCATAACGCTACTCCACAACATCTGAATATGCCTCAGCTGGATCTGCTTAACGTTGCATTTTGGATCGCAGTTCTTGCGGGCAGCTCTACTACTACTGGCCAATCAGCTAGTCGTTACGGATAGAGTTTGGTCGCTCTGGTAGATGGGTCAGGATAAGCAGCCTTCGTCGGCGGTTTTTAACGGCGGCCATAGGCTACGCTGGCGGTGAGCCAAGAAGCATGAACAGCTGAAGCATAAGAAACCCCATGGGCAAATTGCAATGTGGGTAAGGTGACCTTGAGGAAACCCCATATGTTGATTGATTTGAGTCTGGGGCTGCAAGGGTCGGTTCGAATCTTTCGCCCGACCTTCGTGTGCACATTTTTGTGTGCACATTCATCTGCTCAGCAAGCCACAACTCACGCAGACTTGATCCCGTGCGCTACTGGTAGCAATACGTATAAATATATCACTTGTCTTCACAAAGAACAGGAGTTGCTCTCACAGGCTTTTTTTTCATCAAGTCTCGGCTCACTTTATTCTACTCTGTTGTCTCGCAGTCAGGCCTAGCAACATGCGTTGGACGCTTCTGCAGCTTTATTCTTGTCTTTCCCTTGGCTTACTATGCGAAGCACAGCGGTACAATCTGCTTTCACGCCAGTTTGCTCCATATGTGAACGCTATATCGTCTTTGCTTGGCGGTAACGGGTTTATCCCTGCATCTTACGGCGCCATCCAAGGATTTCTTGGTCGTGACCAGGAATTCGACTTTGTGGTCGTGGGCGGCGGCACTGCCGGGAATGCTGTAGGCTATCGCTTAGCAGAAGCAGGCTTCAGCGTCGCACTTATCGAAGCCGGAACCTTTTTCGAGTTTTCCAAGCCGGGTTTCTCCACCATCCCCGGCCTTGACGTCCTCTTTGTTGGTTCAGACAGTTCCGAAGCTCTGTCTCCAGCCGACTGGAAGTTTCAGACGACACCTCAGCAAGGCGCAAATGATCGCAAGTTTCATGTTGCTCAAGGGAAATGCGTTGGTGGCTCATCGGCCTGGAACTTTATGATTCACCATAGAGGCCCCAAGGGCATGTATGACCAATGGGCCGAGGCCGTGGGAGACGACAGCTACAAGTAGGTCAACACGAATGTCAGCAACGCACGATCATGTCCAATTAATGAAAGAACTTTAGGCTCAGCAGTTTCGAAGCATACTACAAAAAGTCTGTGACTTTTACCCCGGCCAGCTCCTCAAAACGCCCTGCGGGCACCTGGTCCCAGTCTTCCGCATCGGACTTTGCTGCTCCAGGACAAGGCGGCCCCGTTCAAGTCAGCTACACAAACTTTGTCTCCGACTGGTCTAAATGGATGCAAAAAGGATTACAAGCTGTCGGACTAAAAGAAACCGATGGATTTGATCGCGGTAACTTGCTGGGATACCATTACACCGAAACGACTATACGACAGTCCGACGCAACCCGCAGCTCATCTGCTGAATACGTTTACGCTGCAGATAAGAAGAAATTGAGCAATCTTAAACTCTTCACCAACACCCAAGCGGCAAAGATCAACTTTGATAGCAGCAAAAAGGCAACAAGTGTCAAGGTGCTCTCAGCAATCGGCTCCGAGTACACCATCAAAGCAAAAAGAGAGATTGTTGTTAGCTCTGGAGCCTATAGCTCACCGCACCTTCTTATGCTTTCGGGGATCGGGCCTGAAGAGACTCTAAACAAGTACGGAATTCCCATTGTTGCGCCGCTACCTGGAGTTGGCCAGAACATGTGGGATCATATCTTCTTTGGGCCATCTCACGCTGTCAAGTTCAAGACCATTGACTCTATTTTGCACAACCTCGTTGATCTGGCAAGTGCAGTTACCAAGTATCTGGTTGGTAAAACAGGTATTCTGAGCTCTAACGGAATTGAGATGGTTGGGTGGGAAAAGCTGCCCGAGCAGCTGAGAGAAGGATTCTCCGACCAGACTAAGCAAGAACTCGGTCGGTATTCTGACGACTGGCCAGAGGTTGAATACCTCGGTGGCAATGGGCATATTGGGGAATTTGGGTCATTACTCAAACAGCCAACCGACGGGCGCCAATACGCTACGCTTTTGGGCGCCCTCGTTGCGCCGCTTTCGAGGGGCAACATAACCATTTCATCCATGTCTATCCGCGATCACCCCGTGATCAACCCCAACTGGCTGACTGACAAGGGCGATCAAGAGGTTGCGGTAGCTCTCATGAAGCGCATGCGACAAGTGTGGGCAACACCCGATTTGGTATCCATTTCAGATGGTCCCGAGTTTTATCCAGGCGAGCAAGTCAAGACGGACGAGGAGCTTCTAGAAAATGTCCGCCAGTCATTAATGACTGTATGGCACCCGGCTTGCACATGCAAAATGGGCAAGAAGGAGGATTCTATGGCCGTGATTGACAATTTGGCACGTGTATATGGCGTTCACGGCCTGCGCGTTGTGGATGCGAGCTCTTTTCCCATTCTGCCCCCAGGACATCCTATGGCAACGATTTACGCACTGGCAGAGAAGATTGCTGAGGACATTATCCGCACCGCCAAGCAGTGAGGGACGGCGGTTGGCACAGGCCAGGACACATGCTGGTATTGAGAGTAAAGGATAGCTGATATATGCAAAAAAGAATTTCATATTACGCTAACTATAGTGTTGGAAATATAAAGGAATGAAACATTCAACAAGACATATTTGAGCATACAATAATCCTCCTCCATTACTCTCTCATGATTCGTAAGGAAGCCAGTCTCACGTCCGCGCCACAAACTTCACCTCTCCTCAAAACCGCTATCACTTTAGACAATCTGTAAAAAGCATACAGTGCAGCTCTACACCTCGAGTCTCGGGCCTCCTGGCTCTGCATCTTCTCCTTAGTTGATAGCAATGCGTCGAGGCTGGGGCTTTTTAGCCTTGGGGACCGAAACCGAGAGTATACCATCCTTGAATCCGGCGGAGATGCCATCCTGATCTACAGGAGACGGGAAACTGAATGAGCGAGAAAATTCGCCAACTTTGCGTTCTCTGAGCCAGTATTTCGGCTTCTCCGTTTTGTCGCTGGCTTTGGTTGACGCCTCTGTCGTATCATGGGCGGCATGGCCCTCGCCTGCTTCGGTGATGGTTGGCTTGTCCGAAACATCTTCGATCCTGGCAGCCGAGGACGATGGCGCTGGTCCGGAATAAGTCCGCTCGGATTTTCCGCGAATGACTAGCGTCTGTGGTTCCGGGAATTCGATGCAGATGTCTTCCTTTTTCACGCCTGGAAATTCACCGTGCAGCTCGTATTGGTCGCTGCTCTCGCGAATGTCAAACTTTGGCTGCCAAAAGAGGGAGCCAGCGTTTCCATCACGACCAAGGGAAGAACTACCACCCTGACGACTGTAGTTGTCAAATTCGTCAAGGAGGCGGAATAAAGGTGAAAAGGACGATGGCTCGCTTTCGTGCAAAGCTCGGGGGAAAAGAGACATGTTTGCAGTGGTTGTAGTCTTGATGTTTGATGTAGCTGGATTTGATGTTTGAAGTGATTGCAATTGATGATTTTCAACTTTCTGTTTATTGATTTGGTTCAAGAAGATTGTCTCGTCCGACGAGAAATGATCAGACCTTTATATCTTTGTTGCCTTGTGGTGTACTTGCACACAATGCGAGGGCATACAGAGCGATCATGAAGCCACAGTATCATATCGAAGGTTTTGGAAATGATGTTCGAACCTGGGCGAAATTTGCGGAAAAACATCGAAAGAAGAGGCTGGCGATCGTGACACAATAATGTCGCAATCGTGACCTACCAGTAGGCTTGATGGATGCTGTGGCTATGGGGTGGGGATCTTCTTGGTGGCTCTAGAAGCTACGGTCGGCAGCGACCGAGGTGGCAAATAAATGCTCTGCGCTAAGTGAATAGGTTCCATGAACAGTCTAGGTGTGTGTCTAGACTACGGATATAGGTCAAAATTTTCGATATTGCATCAAGTACGGTACACAATGGGTAATATAAGGTGATTCAGAGTAAATTACCACCAAACCCCCATACAGTGGTGCTTGGAGGCACTGTAAGCAGCTGGTGTGACATGTTGCTGACTAAGGCATCTCTCTACCCCCCTGAATTACCATGCCATGACTTTCTTGTTGGACACAGCCAAGCTCATCATGCTATTCGCCTTTCTTCAAAGACTTGTTTCAAGATGCATAGGAAGCATCTCGACGCTGTTTTGGGCTTTTATTAGTGAAACGCCGTCAATCGAGCCACCACCCGATGTTGAATGCGGCATCAAAGGTGATGCTCAGGCTCTGCCTGAGCAAGACGTGACAGCGTCGAAAAAGGCCATGCAAGAGTTTATGGCGAGTCTATCGCGCGACGCAAGAAGAAAGCTAGCGTCACGTTACAACGAGTACAAGCCTTGTGAAATTTTTGGAGAGGCTAATGGCAGCTTCAATGCATGCTTTTTTGTCCTCTTTCCCGACGACGGTGCGCGATGGGTGGTGCGCGTGCCTATAGATATAGAGTTCCAGCAACCCTGGGAAAAACTGCAGAGTGAAGTTGCCACTGTCAAGTAAGAATATATTCGTTCTGACGACACTAAGCTGTTGCTGATTTGTCTGCCACATTTCTGATTTTTAGTGGTGAGCCGCTAGACATAGCATGTCTCTACTACTTACTGGTAAGCACCTTTATCGCCTGCTGTTACAGGGCCGGGGAGCTGATTACTGCTTATACTCTACTAAACACGGATACGGCCTCTGGTATCACTATTCATTACACATAGTGCACATTCTTTGCTTCCCCGTTTTAATGAATTAGGGATGCACGGATCGACTTGGCCCGGCCCGTAATAAGCCGTGGGGGTGGCTACCTTAGTACCAAAAATTAGCGCGAGGACGATGCCGCTGACCTATTATTACAGCATCGTCCGCGGCCAGACTATGCCGCAATGCACAAGCTTGGCTTGGGAAGTTAAGGCTACCACATTAGATTCGCAATATAGGCATTAAATTTAAATAAAGGTAACATTTTATGATATTTTGCATATTAGGGAGCTTAGCAGCGTGTACAAACCAAATTTTGTGTGATGATATGTGTGCAAAGTTTCGACCTCGAGTGCCATAGTGTTTATTGTTATCCGTGCCGCCCTAGTAGATCAATCCATAGCCGCCCACTTGAGAATCTCCTTCTCTACTGAATCCATTGCTTTCATCTTTTCATTCTCAAGTTGAATCTCCTTGACGCGCCGCTTATACTTTGGATTTGACAAAATTTCATCAACCCCCTGTCGGATCTGTCTCTGCGACGGCGTTCCTGTCCTCAAATTGATTCCCACGCCGGCAAACTCGCCTCGATTTGCAACTTCGGGCTTGTCCTCACTTCCGCCCGCCAACACCATCGGTACACCATTCACAATGCCGTGCATAAAGCCGCCATAGCCAGCGTTCAAAACAAACACCGAAGCATAGGGTAGCATGGCGTCGTATGACAAGTAGTCCACAGTGTAGGCATTCGATGGTATCGCAACTTCACCGGGTAATTCAGCACCTTTTTGGCCTAGAATTGCCACCACAACAATGTCATCTCTGTCTGCGAGCGCATGCATCGCAGGGACAAGAAGTTGGTCGTAGCGCACCGCGACTGTGCCCTGTGACACTACCACGACCCGCTTGCTACCGTTGATGACGGTGTTCCAAAACGGTGGCGCGGAAAACGTCTTTGGGGGAGCACGAGGCGGCAAGGCACCAATAAAACGCACCTTGGGGTGTATATCGGATCGACGATACTCTAGACTCGGAGGGCACATTTGCAGCGTTACGTCGGCCGTGGTGGCGATGACATCCAATGGGTTGCGGCCTTCCACTTCGTCCATGTTTGTCGCACCAAGTTCAGTCAAGACCTTCTTTTGCAGAGCCACAGACTCTGCAAGAGACCCTGTCAGCATATCGCTGTGCAGTTTCCTGTACTTTTCACGGCTTTCTGCTGTTCCATCTGGTATGATGGTCAGGCCGAAGGGTGCGCTGTCGACACTGCTGAGCCCGTAGCTGCAAGCATGAATGTTGATGGCGCGAGGCCGTCTAGTGAAGCCCTTTGGAAGCGGCGCACCAAGGAATAGTGGATGGTCACCGAGGAAAAATGATTCGGTCAAAAGCACAACTTTGTGTAAAGGCTTTTCCCGTTTGACGTCCTCGAGCGCCGCGTACAGCGTCGCCATGCGGCCGGCGGTGGGCGTAATGAAGAGCTCGATCATAGCGGCATTCATACGTTCACCTGGGTCCGCTATGACAGATAGCTCGGTAGTAATTCTTTGAATATCGTCATAAGGCGGAACGGGGACAAAGTATGCTCCCACGGCAGCTGTGCGGGCTCTGTAGTCCTCACTTGCGAGGAACGTCACATCGTAGCCACGGAGGACTAGCTCCTCAACGATACGTAGAAGTGGAAAGGTGTGACCATCAGCGGGCGACGCAAGCGCTACAATCTTGAGATTGGAACGGTCAACTAAATTATCAATAAGTGGCTCGCTGCGTGACGGAGACATGTTGTACAGGGTGATTGAAGGGCGAGGAAGAAAGTCATTGTCCAAGAGGTTCGGCAGGTCTGGGATTCACCGCAACTTATACGACGTCGACGTATGCCGGGCGGAAACAGACGAGCCATTTTGGGCGCCAGAGATTGGAACCCGCGTCTTCCGTCGTATACACAGAATGAGCCCACTCATGATGCTGTCAGACACTCATCGCCAATCTCATTCGGGAGTCAGCTTGTGCCACGAGCCCGGACAACTCACGCCTTGATCGGGACATCGGAGCTAACGCTGCCCGACAACCTCCGCCGCGCGACAGACGATCACTACGACACTTGGGTTAGCTTCTACACGCTTACTGCCTTGACCAGGGCGCGAACGCCGAATGCCCGATGAATCATCCAGCTCGCCGCTCTTGGAAACGACATACTCACTAAGCATACGAATATGGAGTGGGATCAGTTTATGGATCACGACCCGAGATGCGGTTGCATCTGAGTAAAGCTGTGAGCGGGGTCTGGCCTTGGTATCTCTCCGCTTCGGTCTTCGGACATTTATCTGGGCCGGGCCGCCCGGGCCGCCCGGGACGATTTGCACGATTTGGGATGGCGGTCGTCGGGAGTTAGATTTGCGGGCAGGCATCTCTGCGACCCTTGAGATAAATATCGCGTCCATAACTGCTCAAGGTTCCTTTGCTGTGTCGTCTCCAAACACGGCACTCGTCTTCTACATCAATCAAGATCGGCTCAAAATGGCTCTCGTCGAAAAAATTCAGTTGACAGACGATTTTTCTGTCTATGCAAATCCAGCCGCTAAGCTTGAAGTGGAATTTATTCACAAAGAAATCTTCATCGACAAGTGCTATGATGTCGCGCCATTTCCCGACGATAGCTTCATAGTCGATGCTGGTGGCAACATTGGCATGTTCACCCTGTACATGAAGAGAAAATATCCACAATCAACCATTCTCGCTTTTGAGCCTGCTCCGGCTACGTTTTCTACTTTTCAGCGCAATATGGAATTACACAACGTTTCCGGTGTACAAGCCCATCAGTGTGGGCTCGGCAGGGAAGATGCAAGTCTGGCCTTGACGTTCTACCCGCAGATGCCAGGCAACTCGACGCTGTATGCCGAGGACAAAACGAACCAAATGAAGTCTGTGGACCAAAATCACCCTATCGCCAAGCTTATGCAAGAGACGCATGAGGTGCAAGTTGATGTGAAACGGCTGTCGGATTTCCTTGGCGAGGTCCCCAATCTGAAACGCGTCAACCTGCTCAAGGTAGACGTGGAGGGCGCCGAGATGGATGTGTTACGAGGTTTAGATGACGAGCATTGGGATCTGATTGACAATGTTGTAGTCGAGCTTTGCGACAGCAAAGGAGACTTTGCCACGGCCAAGACTCTGCTGGAATCCAAGGGATTTGCGGTTGCTGTAGAGAGGCCCGACTGGGCACCACCAGATCTAAAGATGTACATGTTGATCGCAAAAAGAAACTGAGGGATGTCTAATTAGCCAATCAACCTTCTAACCGTTCTATACCTAATTTCTATATATATGCCCGATATGTATCATGTTCTTTCGCCTCTGCCGCGGTCTGCCGCGGCAGAAAATATTCAGTTTGACTTTTGCGCCCACTTGAGAGCACCGGGAACGGACTCATCAGCTGCAACATATTTACACTGTGTAAAATTTGACCACAATTGCCCGAGGAAGGAGCGATCGTCCCGATGATACAGGTCTCCAAGGACAGGCTTCAGGGCGTCGGTGGCTTCTTCAGCATAGTAGAAAGGAATTCGGCTACAGACTTCTAGTAAGACAAGTGCCCGTGATTGCGGTTGTGTTGGTGAAATTTACTTACGGGAACAAATGGTGAACAACGTGGTGCTCAATGATGCCGTGGAAGAGGTGGCGCCCAATGAAGCCAAAGTCGCGATCGACAGTGGCCAGTGCGCCTTTGACAAAAGTCCAGTGTTCAGCTTCGAAATGAGGAACATCTACGTGAGTGTGATGTAGATAGGTGATGGCGACTTCAGCTGTCAGTTAGTTTTTCATCCAAGTAGCCTCTGTTGCGAACGGGAAAAAACATACTCAGCCAGTGGTGGACCCAGACGTAGGGTTGCAGATAGAGGAGTACTACTGTTTGCGTGCCAATAACACCGGAAAGTTTGTATAGGGCTAAAAACATGAGTCCCAGTCCGACGTCAGACAAGGCAATATACGGAGCCTCGCTTCGACGAAAGACGGCGCTGTTGGGATCAAAATGACTGCGGCCCAAGAGGCTAGATGTCGGCTTCTGCTGGCTGTCGCTTCCAGCCGAGACGTTGAACAGCAGATAGAAAATCCAACCAAAGAGCTGGTGGAAAATGAGCGAAATGGCTTGGAAGACGGGCGTATCTTCGAGGAATTCCATGTTGAAAAGACTGAGACGGGCTTCATAGTCTGCACGCTTCTTGGGGACAAAGGCCATGTCCTTTTCCATGTGTCCTGTGAACTTGTGATGGCGGTGGTGTGAAAACTTCCATGAGTAGTAAGGTACCATCAGGCTTGAGTGAGTCAAGAAGCCAACGACATCGTTGAGAAGAGGGTGCTTGGAAAATGCCCCGTGGCCAGCTTCGTGGCCCAGGATCCAGAGTCCTGTGCAGATGAGGCCTTGGCCAAAGCCATAAAGTATCCAGGCAGTTGCCCTCAAGGTCGCGTCATCAATAGAGGGAATGTAGTGAGCGGCAGCCCAGCCAAGCGTACCAATCAAAACGACATCACGGACCAAGTAGCTCATAGACGTGAACACTGACGGCTCAAAGCAATGCTTCGGAATTGCCTGACGCAAGGTATTGATGTCAGGATACACCGGGCCTGATGGGGAGCTGAATTATGGCACAGAAATGTCAGACGACCGAAACTGTCTCATGCCAAGTGCGAATCTGAGTACTCACACTGAGGAATCAGCCTTGGGGATTCGTTGCGACATGTTCGTTTTGGTTAGGCTGTCACGGACGAGGTTCGAACAGAACGAAGAGCAAGGTTCACTGGAGTCTATTGGCGCCGCAAAAAGACAGGCCACTGAGAATGAGAGGTTATGCGTGAGAGAAGGTCAGGCAGGAATCAATTTTTCTCTCTTATTATCGATATTTTTTTCCCCGGGTCCCCTTTTCTTACAAGCTAATTTTAAGCACCAAATTTTGCCTGACGCTATGACTAGTGAGAGCAAAGCTTTTCTCCTTTTACGAAAGATAGCCATCATGGACAGGGAACATGAGTGGCCAGGCAGGAACCATAATTGGGTCGAGGCTCATGATCAGGCCGAGGAAAGGGCAAATTTGTTACAAGGTCCCTGAAAATTTATGGGCTTGTGGATGGATAAGACCCTGCGTGGAACCCCCTTGGCCAGTTTAAACGTGCGACGCGCTATACTTGTTTCGGCACTTCGGGTGCAGCATTCTCGGCGCACGTGCTGCCTAGCTCAACAAATCAACAAAAGCAAATTCCGCCAGTGCTGTCTTCTCTGCTTCTGTCCCTGTAACTGTGTATCAAGATTAGGGGCCCAGGTCCCCCCCATGCATTGTACCTAGGTACATGTGTCAGGCCCCCACCACCCGCTCAAGGTAGTGGGGGTCTAGCACATGTCATCAATGCTTACCTACCTTATCACCCTATCCAGTCACCTGCCCTAGGTATTGTTGGAGATTGGCCTACAAGCATTGCCACTGACCCAGTTCCAAGGCTCATTGGTTCAAGGCATGGATAATGGCCATGTGAAACAGCGGGCTAAATACTGGGTATTCGCAATAATGAAACTCTGTTCCCATAATTACGAGCGCAACCAGAGAGTGTCGACATCTGCCGCCTTGTGATCTAGATCTATACAATCTCCTTCCCGCGATCTAGCTCCATGACCAATACGGAGTAAGAGTTAGCGCACTGGCATTAGCTATGTCACGATGAGAGACCACTTTCTCTCGTTGTCTGACCGGTGTGCTACCCGTTTCGCGAGCCCCAATATTGTACCAGCGGAAGAGAACCAAAAGTTTTCCAAAGTTTTCCACAAGTTTTGCATGCATGAGGAAACGTGCATGAGGAAACGAATCGTATTTGACAGCTAGGTAGGATTCGTGGCCGACACGGATCACACGACTCACATTTCAAAGTGCTGTCGGCTGTGATGCAACTTGGTCAAGTGCGCTTTGCCCATGTGGTGATAATTAGTTCGCGAATTCTCACATCAGAACTTTATTTTTTGGTATTCCTCGAATTTCTGTACCGCAGATTTAGAACAAGTAGTTGCACCTAATCATGGTCCCCATCGTTAGGCTCAACACACAGTGTCGGACTAACGTCTTGCCCGGCGCAGCAGTATGACGTATGGCAAACTCGAGAGGCACCCTGGTCGTCCGAGTACAAGGCTTAGAGGCTTAGCTAATTTTTCACGTAACTCAGGGTGTTTCGAACGATATGTGGCTGATCGCGGCTTCTTTGAGCCTATCACCGGGCATGTGGCAGCTTTTATGGCAGCTGTTTGAAGCCGCTCTTGTGTCTATTCAAGGTGCGAAGAACTTGGCTGCCCCAATCTGCGGCGTTGATTTCACTACGCCTTTTTAAAAGAAGAAGTAGTTTTCAAGTCGCCCCAAGATGGCTTCATTGACTGAGAGTGGGGTGTTTGTCGCACTCGTTGGGCGTTTTGTTGGCAGGCTCCTGCTACACGGCTTCCAGGGCCAGGAAAGATGTGCGTCTGTGTCGATGTCGGTATGTAGCCAATAAGTAGACATATGTCATTTGCGGCCTTCAACTGTTCAGATTTGAGCTTGTTGGCTTGTCTTTTCCAGCATGGGACCCTGGCCTAAGCGGCTCCTTTCAGCTTCAGCTAACAGAGCTCTAGCACGCCGGTGAGTGTCTACATGTTATGACCGTAGAAGATAACGATGAGACAATGCCGAATGTTGTGTTCTTGAAGCAGGGAATGCAGTCATGGAAACCAGAGTTAAGTTAGTTTTCATGTATTGAGCCAGTGAATTCCACCGTTGATATACAGCTCACTCCATCTACTTTACAAATGACATGGCTACAAGGAAACGCCAGCAGTCAGATTAATTTCGTTCAGGGTCGGTCAAAGTATGTCCACTGGCCATCGACGGGCTTCTCCTCGAGGTCTTCCCAACTGCGCAGCAAAGTTAGCAAATATCCGTGTCGCAGCTAAAATCAAAACTTACACCTTGGCCTTTTCCATGACCTCAATAATCTTCAATTCGCCCTCGGCAACCTCGATAACCTCCTCAATGAGACCAGCACCGAGCTTTTGCTCGAGTTCATGTATCCTGCAGCGCTCGTTAGCCCCATCCGTGTCCAATAATACCATCCTCTGGCGGCTATGCGTGCAGCCAAAACGACAGAGGCCAGCTTACTGATCCGCCGTCAGCTGAGGCTCATCCTCCCATTCAATCTTCTCGTGATCCTCCAGGGGTTTGCGCTCAGCCCAGACGGCCACGTCGGCGCGCTCGGCCGGGGAGCGGATGCCCTCGAGCTCACCGCCCTCATTCTCCTCGCCGTCCCACTCCTCAGTGCGCTCGTCGCCGGGAAGGTGCCTCGACCCGACGACAAAAATGCGGTCGCCCAGCTTGACGGTGCGGGCTTCGCTGCCGTCGACACGGCCGCTAGCCACGCGGAACTGCTCGGCGTTGTTCTTGACCAGCTCGCGCGCCTTGGCCGCCCACGCCTCGTAGCCGGGCGGCGTGTACTGCTCGACCAGCGCCATCCGGTGCTTAGTTGTGGCTTCGACCGACTGGCGGTACAGGGACGTCGCCGGCAGCGATTGCAGCTTGTGGAGGGTGCTGCCGTAGAGGAAGAGGAGCGTCGATCGGGGGGTGGCGTGCGTCCACAGACCCGTTAGCCCAGTGGGCGTACCGGGTTCGAGGTAGCGCGCAAGCGCTCGAAGTGTTGGCCGCATGCTTGGCGGATGCAATTGGTAATGGTTGTCCCCGTGGTGTTGGAGCTGGGCTTTTGGTCGGTCTGCAGAGATTCTGCTCAATGCTCCGGCCTAGCCTCCAATAAGGTCGAGCAATTACCAAGCGCGATGCATCACGTGGAAAGTCACGTGCATCATATCAACCACTGCGTCTGAAGGCTCCTTGTCGGTTACATGACATAGATACTTGAAAATTATTATCATTTTGTACTTTTCACTACTTGGATTTTGTACCAGTGTCGCATTATCGCTCTATGCGACGCTTCTTCAAGTTGCACCGCTACAAGCAGTTGTAGTCAAGTTGCAAGTGTCCTGATGGAGTGGGACCAACGAAACAGAGCCATTTAATAGGGAGTGGCCGTATTGGCCATCAAAGCCTAGTCAATATAAACACAAAGGAAATATTAACTGCCGGGCGCGGATTTACCAGTAATCCTGCCACCGTGTATTCTGCCCTCATCCACGTCGCGCTCACTTCAAGCAGCATCTTCACGGCTCTTGCGGTAGTTGGCCTTTGCGATGGATTAGCCACGTTGAAGACGGGTTAGACCATGCAATCATACCTCTTGCTCGGTCTGAAGCTGCGCAATGATCGGCGCAAGCTCGCCAAGAATCTCAGAAGCCTTCTTGTGATACTCAATTTGGGCATTGATAAGCTCAGACAGGTTGCGCAGAGGCTCAGGTGTATCCAGGACCTGAGTTTGTTAGCCCTGGGCGTAAATTTGCAACCTCACGTAACTTACGTTCTTCATGACACCGACAGCCTCCTCAGTCTGGGTGACAAACTCGTCCTCGGCCTTCTCAATCTCCTCCTGGGCCTCGGGGCTAAGCTCGGGCTCTTCCTGACCAGCAGCAGAAGAGCTCTGGCCGAGCTTGAAAGTAGTGCCCTTGGCATGAGCTTTGACAGCATCTAGAGACAGCCTGGATTTTTCGACGTTCTTTCTCGCGCGGGTGGCAAACATGATGTTGGTGTTCAAGGTGGTGTTCCAGCCAGCAAGGAAGCGGCTCTGAATCTGGGCATCCTGGGCAAGACGAGCCTCGCCGACACGCTCCATGGTGAGAGCGTACTTTTCGAGAGCGGTGGCCAGAGGGTCCTCGCCAGCACCTGTGTGGTTCTGGTGCAGGGTCTGGCTCGAGGCAAGACTGGCTCGGGCAATGGCATGGCTAAACGTCTTCGGCTGGGGTTTGGCGGTCGGAGGGGCCACGAGAGCGGCCTGGGCTTCGGCGGTGCTGGTGGCAGAGGAGAGCAGAGAGACCTTTTCGCTGACGGTACGGCCGAGGTCCTGGAATGTCTCCTTCACGTTCGGCGGGTAGTCGTATGCTTCGTTAGAGTATTGCTGGCTGTGATCGGGGGAGAAGACGTCGAGGTTAGTGGGAGGGAGAGATAGGCAGTGGCAATTAGCGCCAGTTTCATGAGAGCGAGTACACACGTGACATTGAGCATCTTCTGGTGAGCCTGCTTGAGGGCATCAACCTTCTTCTCGAGGTCAATGTAGTCGGCGGGCAGCTGAGTCTGTATTGCGCAAGTGATTAACAGATGATGGCGAGCAAGCCACCCATGAATGGACTTCGCACCTTGTCCTCAGACTGGCCAAATTGCTCCTTGGTATACTGGAAGGTGCGCGACGCGAAGGGCGTGATCTGCGCACCAAAGTCGCTGCCGAGCGCGAACAAAGTATCACGGTTAGCTAGAGCTGAACCTTGATTGACAACGTGGGGGAGGAAGCTTGTGCAACCAGCAGGCGGCGGCGGCTTCGGCAACATACGAGAGATTCTTGCCAAATTTGGAGAAGTCCATCTTGGTAGAGATACAACCAACGAGAAAACGGTGAAACGGTATAAGGGAAACTAGTAATTCGACGAGGGGGGGGATGCAAGATGTATGCTCGCGCTGAACGGTTCGATGAAGGGACAGCGTCACAAGCGAAATGGCGCGCCGGGTCCGCTCCACCCAGGGGTTTCCACAGCGGCCACAGCGACCAGAGCACCCTGGAGCAACGCAGAGGACGGGTGAAGAGCTAAGCTTTTTGCTGGGCGAGCTTCCGCCACCTGCACGTGACGCATGACGTTGTTGTGCTATAAGGGGGAATATAGGCGCTATAAAAAATGTGGCACGTCCATGAGCGTATGACAGTTCTGGGCGCCACGAAATCAGAGGCAATTTGCGACCTTTGTGAACATAGGGCCAGATAATCACCAGCGATTGGCAGTTCTACCTTTGCTGCACTGCGATTTTCTTTTGGCAGGGTATATTGGTGATGAACATCCGACAAATTCGAGAATTCAAAAACTCCAAGCTCTAACCCGATTCCAAAACCTGGCAAAATCAACAGAAATATCCAGTCGCCCTATGCTCTAAACGCCGCCCAATGAATAAAGGCTTCCCCTAGTCTACAATATGCTGATTGTCTGCCCAGCTTGGCTGTACACTACGACACACAGATTCGTAGTGCTGCAGCTTTGGCTGGCGCCCACACAGACCCAGCGTTGTCCAAAACATAGTCCAGTTGGAGTCGGATAGCTTAATTGTGCCAACGGAACGCTCAAAGTACCACTTGTTAACGGGATTGTTTTTGCGGCTTCGCCAGCAGACGCCCTCTGGAAAGCAGTCCCGCACCATGGCGTTGAAGACAATGTCGGCGACGCCGCCGCTGCCCTGTCGAGATCTCAACACGGCAAACTTGTCGAGATATGGCACGTAGAGTCCCCGTTCGTACGCCTCCTGGTCTGTCACTCCTTCGGGCTTCTCCCACGTGAGAATTGCGCCGCCCTCGTACTCGCCTGCAATGATGATGCCAGCGAGGTTGTCGTTGACGCGGTTCAGGTAATGTTGCACATCAAGCTTTCTACCAAATGAGTCATCGATGAGATGCACCAACCGAGGCAAATCAACATTGTTATCCGTCAACCGGCAGCGCGATGCCCCCGTCTTGGGCGGCCGCCAGGGATTCTCTCGTGGATCCGGATATATGGTCAACGGCATGCCCCTCTTGACCAATGTAGCCGCCGTAGAGTCGCTCGGGTCTATGCGGTAGCCCCCGTCTTGAATTCGTTGCAGCGGTAGAGACGACGAATATATTGGTTTATCTGTTAAGAGGTTGTGGAGAATCGGATTATGCTTCTTGCGGGTAGTGACCATGCCATCAAATCCCAGCTGACTCTCTTCCATCTTGATGGAACGCGGCTCGGAGTAGATTGGGCTCGTGTTTGCGGCTGCGAAAGGCGTGGTAATGAGAGCAGACGACGACGGCGGCAAAATGCTCAAAGTTTCTTTGGCCAGAAACAAGTTTGAGACGTGATTGTTGGTTGTCGGCTTACCGCTTGGACTTCCTGTCGCCGGGGACCCTTCTGGTCCCAAGAGCTGCGCACAAAGCCTCTCGTATTCTTGCTCAAGATTGATAAAACGGTGACACACGCCAATGCCACGACCAGAAGTCGGGGTACCGCCTAGCGCATCGAGCAAAATGACACGCTCTACTGAAGCAATCTTTTCCGGTCGCCAGATGTTCTTGCTGTTTCCGCTTGCATCCGGAAGAGGGGGCTTGTCGAACTGAAGGCCGGACAGGAACGTCGTCAACGCGAGCACCGTCTGCTCCACACTAGCAGGTCTGGCAGCAGATAATTCATCTCGAGCAGACATGGACGCGATAACAGGTACGAGTCTGCGCTCAAAAGCGCGCTTCAGTAGGCCGCGATCGCTGACTCTAATGGAGTTGGAGTGCACCGAAGGTCGCGGCGCGTCCGGGGCTTCCCCGATGAAGATGTCGCTGATGACCTTGGCGCCAGGTTTGCCGAAGGTGTCAACAGCTTCGCAAAGCCGGAGCGACTCGTCTTCAAACATCTGACGATTGCTATCTCCGGTGCAATCAATGACTACGGCGCTGAGGAGACCAAGTGCGCGCAACTGGGCGATGGTCTTGGCAATACCGTCGACTATGCTCTGGACAAGATGCTGCGGATCGCGTAGCATAACAATGGCGATATTGACGGGCTCGGCCACAGAAAGAGCACTGGTGAATTTCTGGCTGTCTGGTGTTCTTCCCAACTCTGGTTCACCGGACTGATTGGCGGTGTATTTTTGCAGATAGCCTCTGGCATCTCGTCTCGTAGCTGTTGACTCTAGCACAGAGACAATGACGTCCTGGGTAACCCTTTTTAGTTTCTTTCTTTTTCGAAAACCATTCCAAATTTGTGCACATACCCTTTCCAAGGCTTGTTTCTTGACTCTGGCCACAGACGATGATGACATGGGTCTAGTGGCATCCGCGGTAGCCGTCGTCGTCGTCGCAGCAGCCGCGAGCGGTTTAATCGTGGCCTGCTTTGACATGCTATGCGCGAGTCGCCTCTGCTCCCCAATAGAGCGTCCACTCACCACGGACAGGTTGGGGCCACAACCCGAAGCCGCCTTTTTCCTAGCAGTTGCCCAGCTCATGATGATGTTGCGAGGCGGTGACGGAGGTTTGGGTGAAGTGAGACGGAGAACTTGTTTTTTTTGGGGGGGGGGGGGGGAGGCGTTAGCACAAAGGCGAGCTGACGCTTGGCTACGGCCAGCTTATTTGAAAAAAGGGGCCTATTCGTGCCTCATGCGGGTTTGGATATGGAAGATACTTGGGGATAACAATGTTGACCGAAAAGGAGATTATCGTGAGCCTGGCAATGAGAACCAGAAGCAGAAGAGCCAAAGCGTTTTGGTATAAGTCGGGTTGATGAGTCAAGGCGAGCCGCTGATGATTTTGTGCTTCAGTGGGCTTTTCAGTGGCTGCAGTGGACTCAGTGGACTCGGTGGCGCTCCACTGCCCTGACTGGACGGAGAAGGCTTTGACTGCCGAGGCGTCCCGATCTAGCTCCGAAGACTTGAAGTGCAAAAGAGCAAAATGGCAAGATTGTGCACTTGAAATCTGGGGCGGGTTCCAGCTAAATATCCAGATAACCCGGCTTGGTGGTTGGTGGGTTATACCTTCTTGATGCCCGTGCTTTAAGATGGCTGAGGTATATCCGGCGCTACTGTGCCCGAAAGATCCCGCACGGTGTCGATGGCTGTATGCACGAGATCTGCTAGTTGCTGAATACTACAATGACTACAACACAATGTGCAAATCCAACCAGTTGGCAGAGTCATGCTCCTTCTACGTAAATGTACCTGAATATGTTCTCAGGAATCTATCGGCTGCAGCTGGCAAGCCGGTCGAATGAATTCCGATCTCTCATTGGCAGGAGACTTGGTGGATCAACCCTACGTAGCCGCTTGCTCGCCTTACTTCAGCAATCATCCATCCGTTTTGAATATTCAATTCACACATGATCTCATCTATGCACCATTCCCAAACTTCAGACCGGCCTCCTTTCGCACCACGCCATAGATGCCCGCAATGTCGCCCGATGGGCCCGCGTGCTCCTTGAGGCTTGCCAGATGCGCGTCAGCCGTCTCGACATTCTGCACCTTCGTGCCCGCTGCCTCCGCCAGCGTCTTTGCGTGCCGCGCATCCTTGCGCGCGAGGTCCACGGCCCAAAGCGGCTCCTCGCGCTTGTAGTAATCCCCCGTGAGCATGCGTGTGCTGTACGCCGCGTACGGCCCCGGAAAAAGCGCCGATACAAGCTCGTGCAAGTGCTGCGTGCCCAGGCCCGACTTTTCCGCCAGCACGTGCGCCTCGGCCAGCTGCTCGACCATGTTGAGGATAAACGTGTTACCAATCACCTTGAGCGTCGTGGCCTTGCCGTAGGCCGCGCCTGCGAGGTCAATCTCGGCGCGCGCCGTCACGCCCACGAACCAGGGCCGCGCGCGGTTGACGCTCACCGGCGGGCCCGCGAGCACGGCAATAAGCTGGCCGGCTTCGGCCGCGGCGGGCGCGCCAAACACGGGCGCGGCGACAAACTCGGCGGTCCGCGCGAGGAGCTTGTCCGCCGTCGCTTGCGTCGCGTTCGGGTGGATCGTCGAGCACTCAATGAAGAGCTTACCAGCGACGTCGGCCTGCAGCGCCGTGTCGATGGTTTGGCTGACGGCCGCGTCATTCGCTACGCAGGTGAAGATGACGTCGGCCTTGGCCACGCCTTCGACGAGCGACTCTACCACCTCCGTCTTGCCGGCGGGAAGCTTCTGGCTCAGATCGACAGCGCGCTGCCGAGAGCGATTGTAAATGAGAAGTGGTGAGTCAAGATTGCCCTTTTCGACAATGTTCTTGCACATGGCCTACGGTCGAATTGATTAGTGCGTCGCATTGCGAGTCAAGGTACGCTGTAATACTTACCCGGCCCATGTTGCCCAGGCCGATCCAGAGTAATGTGGGCGCCATTGTCACCGTGATGTCTGCTTGACGTACTGTGTGAATCGAAGAATCTCTGCGCAGCAAGTAGAATGGTTCTTGCGTTTCAAAAAAGTGTACAGCACAAGTTTTGGATGATTCTCGCGAGACATGGTAGCCGACGCGACTTAAATAGGAATGCCAGCTTCGGGATAGGACGGCATTCAAATGACTAGGCGATTTGTAAGTGATTTCATAGCGTACGATAGTTTCCGGCTTGACTACGACAAATCAGTGCCCTAAAAGCCCGCTAATCACAAGCAAACGCGTGCATCATAACCACAACTCGCCTTGATGATGAAGGCGAAGCGACAAGACATTCTTCTGCAATATCTGGAGTCTTCCGCAACATTGTCCATTTGCATTTGTCTCATGATGCATTCGCATTTTAGCACCTACCCTAGACGCTTCCGGGTGACAGGCAGTGAGTTCGAAGGAGGCTCGAATTGTGTGATGACTAAGCGCTTGCGCTCCGT